TTTTACAATCACCAATGGCCTCATGGTAACTACCCTGAGCAGTTTCATTCCTGTCCTGCAGCTCAGTTCAGAAGGACGACTGTATCTTTGATATATCTTGATGGTTTAATACATAATCCACAGCATAATTATTAACTTAACATGCTTAAAGAGATAATCAATGTCTGATTTGATATTGTTACCAATCACTGCCCTTTTATGAGGCTTTCGAAAGGCTCCCTGGTCTTTGTAGTTGAATCTGTGCTTGAAATTCAATATTTGACTGAGGGACCCATTCAGTATGTTGTATGTATGGGGGACAGAGAAAGGGTTAGTCATAAAAAAATAATGTCAACCCCTATTATTTCACACAGAGTCCATGTAAAATATTATGTGATTTGTTAAGCCACATTTTACTCCTGAACTAATTTAGGCTTGCCTAAACAGGCTAAATACTTATGCAATGACTATATTTTAGTTATCTAATTTTTATTAATCTTATTTTTTTATTCCACTTTGACATTACAGAATATTTTGAGTTCATTGTTGACAACAAATGACAATTAAATCAATTTAAATTCCAAAATAAAATGTGAAGAAATCCAAGGGGTATGAATACTTTTGCAAGGCACTGTATACTTATATTGTACTTGATCACTCACAACCAGTTTCATAAAACAAGCAATGCTTCAATTTAAAAACAACTCCATGTCAAGGCGTCAGTGTAATGCGGTAGGCGAAGTCAGGCGCAGGACACAGAGCTAATCAAAAAACGTACTTTACTCGTAGGTAAAAATATGAACAAAACCTCCACGCAGGGAGGGAATAAACCCGCACACTGTCGTGGTAAATATATTATGTTAAAGCTTGGTCTGACTAAAATCTTGTGCATAACCCATCTTGTGTTGGGGCCTTGGGACTTAATACAATGCACAAAGACTTCTAGCTTGTTGGCCTTATCAGCAGGTGGCCATGGGGAACACCCACGCCATAGGTCTCTCAAGTCCTCCCAAACTCACGAGTTATTGCCCTGAGGACATACCCACACCCCCCCACACACACACACATCATCATTGTTAAGCACACACACATACACACACACACACATACACACACACACACACATACACATACACACACACACACATACACACACACATACACACACATACACTTACACACACATACACACACATACACACACATCATCATTGTTAAGCACACACACACAAACAACCCCTTCTCTTAGGCTGGAGACAGAGAACCCGACTCAGAGCCAATGAAATGGAGATGACCTCGACCAACTCATCAGGACCAATGGGGAGATCAGAACTACTAGAATCAACCTACTTTATTTTATTGTATAAAATGTCAGCACACAATGTTTAGGGGCGCGCTCTCAGATATCTCCCTACGAGGTTGACGAACGCGTCCGTGCACGCTATTTTCAGATATCTTTACCTCTGAATAAACTGCCTTATATTATACAATCATCCACCTTGTCCGAAAGTCTCTACTTGGTCTCCGTTCTCCAGTAAACTTGTTTTATCAACAAAACTTGGTAGCAAGAGGATGGTTTTCTAAACTCTGAATTCGGTCCATAAAAGTTGATAGAGACAGGAGACAAGTAAGAGACGGATCTGAAAGGACGGGTGACCTGTCCGCAGGAGCAGCCGGGAATCCAGCTCGCCTCAGGAAACTGATCTAGACGGCCGTCAATACAAAGGTAAGCAGAACCTGTTAAAACAAAATCTGCATATTGTATTGTAGGATAAACCCAAATTTTGATCAGTAGTACTGGGCGTGAGTATGGATTACTGTGAAATTTATAACATATCTATTATGACTCAAAGGCACATATGTAAAGATATCTGAATTCTTTAGGTTTTTACTGTTGAAATGTGACTCTCTAGAGAGGAGTCTAGTTACAGTGGTTCACAAGAGATGGACCGACTTTTATTTCCTGTTGAATTGTGATTCTCTAGTGAGGAGTCTATTTACAGAGGTTTGGTTCACTAGAAATGAACCCTTTTATTTTTTGCTGTTGATATCTGAAATCTTAGGTTTTTACTGTTGAAATGTGACTCTAAGAGAAGAAGTCTAGTTACAGTGTTTTTTTTTCCTGTTGAAATGTGGCTTTCTAGTGAGAAGCCTATTACAGTTTTTGGTCCACAAGCGATGGACCATTTTATTTGATCCACAAGAGAAGGATCTGGTGACTTGATAAAAAGATTCAGATAGTCGGGTTGAGTTAATTCCGTGAGAATCCAAGTCCAGAAAAGGTTCTCCCGACTAGACGCCAGTTGAATGGTTTAAACGACTGGGAGTCTCCTTGAGGAGAATCAAAAAAATAAAAATAAAAATACAAGTTCAGATAGTCGGGCAATTTGGTTGACGTGGCACTCAACTATATGTACTGTGAGGAACTCAAACTGAATTCGTGTGTTGATGCTGATATGTAATAAAAAATGTAATTGTTGAAATGATAACCTGAATGTTGTGTAAGATTGGCCGTTTCATGAGACTAACTAGTTGATAACTTTTAAGAGGACCACCGAGTCCTATTTTGCCTGTTATGTAGCCGCTGCGCTAAAAGCTGACTTGAACTTTTTCCCTCTTGTGGAGTTGGTATTTCCTTAGTTCCTAAAATTAGATTGATAATTATTTTGGAAGCGCTCGAGTTTGTTAATATATTGTTCCAAAAGGGCGATTCTGATACCTTTTGGGAAAATATATAATAACTCGAATACCTGAAAAACAATAATAACTTTTGCCAAATAATTCCTAGAATTAAATTGATAATTGTTTTAGGAGCGCTCGAGTTTGCTAATATATTCTTCCAAAAGGGCGATTCTGATACCTTTTGGGAAAATATATAATAATTCGAATAATTGAAAAACAATAATAACTTTTGCTAAATAATTCCTAAAATTAAACTGATAATTATTTTGGGAGCGCTTGAGTTTGTTAATATATTGTTCCAAAAGGGCGGTTCTGATACCTTTTGGGAAAATATATAATAACTCGAATAACTGAAAAACAATAATAACTTTTGCTAAATAATTCCCAAAATTAAATTGATAATTATTTTAGGAGCGCTTGGGTTTGTTAATGTATTCTTCCAAAAGGGCGATTCTGATACCTTTTGGGAAAGTATATAATAGCTCGAGTACCTGAAAGACAATAATAACTTTTGCAAAATAATTCCTGGGATTAAATTGATGATTATTTTGGGAGCGCTCGAGTTTGTTAAATGTATTGTTCCAAAAGGGCGATTCTGATACCTTTTGGGAAGATATATAACAACTCGAATAACTGAAAAACAATAGTACCTTTTGCAAAATAATTCCTAATAATAAATTATTGAAAAAATTATTTGTGTACGAGGGTGGGACATCAGAGATAAATCTCAGTCAGCGCCAAGAATACATTGCTGGATTCGGCCAGTGACGGGCTAAGAGCACCAAGATAGTCTAAAAAAAAACTGTATAACCATGGCAACCACTACCGTCCCAAAACTCAAGTTTAATGAATATCTAGATCAAAAAATACAGGATAGAGCGGGAGGGAAAGAACAGTATAAGACAGTAAAGAAAGTGTGGGAGGGAGTGAAACTCAAATGGACACAGGCAGGTTACTTTAGCGGGGGTGCCCCGTCTAAAGGGCAACTCACCTTTATGAAGAAAGGACTAGAGGTGGCAGTTGAGAAAGCTGAGGAAGAGCTGAGAATAGGGACATGGGCAATAGTGGAGAGCAGGAGGGTGCAACCAAAGAAAACAGATACGATGTGTGTGGCCACTGAAGCAGCTTCCCCAGAGGCCAGTACCAGCACCACTCCTGGCCCCACCTCACTATACAGCCTAACAGGCACCATGACTTTTGGCCCACAACCACGACCATGGCCTCAGCAGGGCACCCCATTAGGTCCTCCAAGAGGAGGGAACTACCTGTGTTACAATTGTGGAGGAGCTGGACATTTTAGGCGTGATTGTAAGGAACACCCACAATTTAACCATCAACCCCAATGGAGGGGAAGAGGCAGAGGTACACCACAATGGAGAGGTAGAGGAAGGGGAGGACCCCCACAATACCAGACTCAATGGAGACGGCCAAGGCCACAAGGTAATGGGGGGGCCTGTTACAATTGTCATCAATATGGACACTCTGTCAGATGGTGTCCATTACCACCTAGTCCGCAACAACTACACTGGCTGGCAAACAGGGGTAGAGGTTATGCCTTCAGATCAAGAGGAGGCCCAAGACCGATGTACCAGCCACATGCTGCCCTACCAGCATATAACCACCCACAACAACACCCAAACCAACAGCCTAACCAGCAGCCAGTTCCTACCTTCCAGGGCATGTCAGACGAATATCCTCCCTGGCCCTGAAGCTGCCCACCACCACAGAACGGGAATGGGGGTCAGCATTTTCCACTTCATACTGAACCAACTGTCATGTGTGAAGTGGAGGGAGTTACCCACCAATTTTTGGTAGATACAGGATGTACGTACTCTGCCATAAGATCTCGTCAACCACTCTCTTCGGAATCAATACAGGTGGTGGGGGTATCAGGAACACCCGAAGCACAAAACAAGACCATACCATTGCTCTTCCAATGGGGCCCTTCCAATTTGAAGCATCAATTCCTATATTGTCCCAACTGTCCAATCAACCTATTGGGAAGGGACCTATTGTGCAAACTGAAATGTTCAATCTACCTTACCGAAAAGGGTGTGGAGGTTTCCATTGATCCCATTACCTCCACACCAGTTCATCCAGTTAGGGTGCTGATGCTACCCATCATCCCAACCCCAGTGCTCTCCCTGACCCAAGAAATATACTGGTTGAAGTGCATCGAATCCGGCCAAGGAACCCCTGAGGTTCAATTCAAGTTCAACCAGCTGAGACAACTCATTTACACATTTCACCCATACAAGACTCCTCAAGCTGAAATCCACTGTACACTTAATGTGACTGATAATGATGTCAACCCATATACCGATGACTGGGATGAAAACATGATGCACCTGACACCAACAATCAGATGTTGTACCATAGTGTGTGGACAGGAAGGAGTGGCTGCTCCGGTTATCCTACCTTCCCATTTGAAATCCTGGTACCTACTGGGCGAAGAATCTGCTCCCCATGTTACACTGGCAGTTGGAAACGGTTTTGAAGCAAGGAGCCTTGGGCCTATGATCAGAAGAGCATCCAAACTCCAGTGGGAACCCACCCAAACTCCAGGAATAACCAAAGCCACCACTGAGAACATGTGGAGGTTTATGACAGTTGACACAGAGGAACATTGCCTTCCTGAACGTTTGACTCTCCCAAGACACCATGGTAAACCTTACACAGACCACCCCTCATCACAAGCACTGCTTTCCACCATTGATGAAGGTATATGGACACACACCCCATTTGATGTTGGACAACTACAGGTGGAACCAGTCACCATCACCTTACTCAACCCTGATCAAATTCCTATCTACCGAACACAGTACCGTCTGAAACCTGAACAGACCAGGGGGATCAAACCAACCATAGATGGGTTGTTGGGAGCTCGTGTCATATATCGCACTGTGTCTCCATGGAACACACCAATCTTACCAGTCTTGAAAGCAGGAGGCGAAACATACCGGATGGTACAAGACTTCCGAGCAGTGAACGACGTCACTGCACCCATTGACCTACCTGTCCCTGACCCTCACATTACACTGAGTAATCTCTCACCAAAACACCAATACTTCACCGTTGTGGATCTGGCTAATGCCTTCTTCAGCATTCCACTGGATGAGGCTTCACAGCCTCTCTTTGCCTTCACATATGAACATCAACAGTATACGTATTCGGTTCTTCCACAGGGTTACAGGTGTTCTCCCGGAATCTTCAATCATATCTTGAAGACACACCTGACTGAATTGAAAATCCCTGAAGGAGTGATACTCATCCAATATGTAGACGACCTTTTGCTGGGGGCTCCCACATCTGATCTCTGTCTACAAATGACAAAAACCCTACTTGACTTCTTGGCTGTCAAAGGCTACAAGGTCAAAATGAGCAAAGTCCAGTCCTGTCGCAGAACTGTCCTTTTCCTTGGCAGAGAAATCTCAGGAGAAGGTGCTGGTCTCTCGAAATCCCACCGAGATTCCATACTCCATCATCCACGTCCCATCACAGTGTCAGGCATGTTGTCCTTCCTGGGGTTGACAGGGTACAGCCGTACCCACATCCCTGACTACACATCCAGGACTGAACCACTGAGAGAAATAGTGAGAGAAGCAGGACCAAGAAACTTACACTCCTCACTTACCTGGACACCTGAAGCATCAACAGCATTTGCTCTCCTAAAAACCGATCTCTCGGTGGCAGCAGCTCTGACAGCACCCGACTACAAAAACAAATTTCATCTTGATGTTTCTGAAAAGGAGGGGTTCACTTCTTCCATCCTTTTTCAGAAACAAGAGGGGGAGAGAAGAGTACTGATGTATCATTCCTCTAAGTTGGACCATATTGAAGCAGGTCAGACAACATGTTCCAGGTACGTGGCTGCAGTGGCAAAAGCTATTGAAAAAAACCGCCCACCTGGTAATGTGCCACAAATTGGAAATCCATACGCACCATGGGGTTGCAGCATATCTGATGAGCAAGGAATTCACGTTCAGCGCTGAAAGAAAGAACAAAATCCAGAATAAATGCACCCAATCACACATTACTTTTGTCAACACCGACAAAAACATGGCAGACGCACTCAATGCAGAAGAAGGGTTGGCACACTCCTGCGAAGAGAGGGCGGCACAGGAACTGAAACTGCGCCCAGACTTGGGAAACGAACCCCTTACCAATCCTGATCTATGGTTGTACACCGATGGATGCTGCTATAGAGGAGAAGAAGGGAACATAGCAGCATATGCAGTGGTACAGCAGCTTCCAGACGGGTCACACGTGACCCTGGAATCAGACATCATCCCACAACCTGCCTCAGCCCAACTAGCTGAGATCATTGGTTTGACTCAAGCCCTGGAAAAGGCTGAAGGAAAGACTGTGAACATCTACACTGACTCAGCATATGCTCATGGAGCAGTCCATACAGATGGACCACAATGGGTCAGACGTAACTTCACCACAACAGGAAACCTTCCGATCAAACACAAGGCACAAATGGAGAGACTGATAAAAGCAGTCTCACTACCTGAGCAGGTGGCCATCATGAAGTGCAAAGGACATCAGCAACTCAAGAACAAAGTCAGCGAGGGAAATGACGCAGCTGACAAAGCAGCCAAGAAAGCTGGGGGCTACACTCCAAGACAGATGGTGCTGCAGACTCAACCAGCTAGAACAGAACTCACAGACCAACACATAAAGGAACTACAATTCACAGCGGGCCCGTATGAGCACTCGGTATGGGGACAGATGGGAGCCACCAAAGGACCTGATGAACTTTGGAGATGCCATGACGGCAGGTTGGTGGCCCCAGCTAATCTCTGCCCCGAGCTGATACGGGAGGCTCATGGGCCCACCCATGAAGGGAAACTCAAAACTTTACAGAAGGTTTCCCATATTTGGTGGCACCCACACATTAAGGACATGACAGACTTGTTTTGTGATGAGTGCAGCATTTGTGGCAGCCACAACCCAAAGAAACCTTTCCAAACACCCATGGGTTCATACCCAGTACCTAATGCATGTTTTCAGGACATTAGCATAGATTACACTGACATGGGGGCTGATAATGTAACTAATGGGAAAAGGTACTTATTGGTAATGGTAGATCGATTCTCCAAATGGGTTGAGGCAATACCAACAGCACGTGAGGATGCTAGGTCAGTTATTAAGTGGCTGCAGACTGAACTCATACCAAGGTATGGGGTTCCAAGACAAATTCGATCCGACAACGGGTCCCATTTCAGTAACCAACACCTGAGACAGGTGGAGGAGAGGTTCGGCATTGTGCACAAGTTTGGGTCTGTGTACCGGCCGCAATCTCAGGGCGTCGTGGAACGCGCCAATCAAACTTTGAAGGCTAAGATAGCCAAGGTATGTGCAGGTTCAAAGTTGACGTGGGTTGAAGCTCTGCCCCTGGCGTTGATGGCCATGAGAGCCTCTCCAGGAGCAGGCACCCATCTCTCTCCACATGAGATTATGACTGGTAGAGTCATGCCTGGTCCACCAAGGGAGGGAGGTCATATGCCCGCCCTTGATGTACAACAAATTGTAATGTCTGAATATGTGAGAAAACTAACGGAACTCTCTGCAGCTCTCTCCAAACAGATTCACAAGGTCCAAGAGGGGGAGCTGACGGGAGATCCGGCGCTGCTGAAGGTAAAAGTTGGCGACTGGGTAAGGATCAAGGTTCACAAGAGAAAGTGGCAAGATCCCAGGTGGACTGGACCGTACGAAGTGAAGGAGGTTACTTCACACTCAGTCCAGGTCAAAGGTAAATCAGGCGCACCTTGGCACCACTTGACACATTGTACACCAGCACCAACTCCTTCCAGAACCCTGACTGAAGTCAGAAGTGATTTAATCACATTAAATTCGGATCAAATTCTTGACACCAACACTATCTGAATATGTGGAGGAGACTCCCATCTTCAGATACTGGAGGGGAAAGACAGAGGAGGGACAGACCACCATGGGAGAGACTGGGGTGCTCTGCTCCACTCCTTGTTTTGCTGATTGTAACTATTGGGGTTACTCTAGGAATCATACTCTGGTCAGTACAGCACATGACACAGACACCCATTACACCCACTAGTAAACCTAACGACACACTCAATGCCACAACCATACGTCCGACCAACCTGCACTCCGACACATTGAGCCCAGATCAGAATGTAAGCCACAGCCACCACGTAAATAAACGACAAGTTGTCTCTAACACCCTTTCCTGTAGGCCCAGACAATTGTATAGAAGCACCACATTATGTATACCCTTTAATGTTACCACTACTGCGACAGTGCCGTGGGTAGACTTCAGAGAACTTACCTACTACCGTGACTGGGACTGGTATATGACAGTGGGGGTCACCCATAGCGATTGGACTTGGACAAACTTGGTATGTGAGACTAATTATGACTGGTCCAGTTGCACCTCTACTACATTAGGAAAACAATGGAGGAAACTCTTGACTTTGACAAAAAACTCTAAAGGACTCAAATTTACTATCTATCCTGGTATTGCATTAGGCTGCCAGGACTTTAGACTTGCTCCTTATGTAAGCTGTACCACTGCACCAGTCTATTGGAAGGTTCGAATTTGTCATATTAATAACACAAAAGCACATGCTATTAATGAAAATGGTAATAAGAATAATTATATTATTTTACTTACCACTCCACCTACTTTGGATGATGCAATCCTGACCGCTACAGGTGTCTCTGGCCTTTCTAACAACTGGCTCTTGTTGACTGAGGAAGCGGCAAAGGTGACTCATCAGAGTTGTGTGGTTTGTATGGGGGCACGGCCATTGCTTCGCATTATCCCTGCCGCCATTACGCCAGAATGCTTCCTGTCTGTCATGAAATATGACAACCCTTCCGCCAATTGTACACTATGGGACGTAGTTCATCCCTTGGTTACTAAAGCAACTAAGAAACCAATTTTTTCCTATCAGGTGGCTAGAGCTAACTTTACCTGTGTTAATCTCACGAAAGGTCTACCATTGTTGGGTATGGTACCTGTTGGATGGTGTCGGTTTATCTATACGTCTAATGCTGAGTTTAAACCTGTTTCCAGGGCTGATGTCTGGTGGTGGTGTGGAGGCGTTCATCTGTTTGATGGACTGCCTGGAAATGCCACAGGCACCTGTGCACTAGTCTCTCTTTTGCTACCAATTTCTGTGCATCCAACAGGTGTTCAGGAGCTGGTGACCCATGTGTCTGACTTAATTCCTACCAGGACCAGGCGCGCTGTGGGCCCTACTCATGGGGACCCAACCTACATTGATGCAATTGGGGTCCCTAGGGGGGTACCAGATGAGTATAAATTGATTGACCAAGTAGCCGCAGGTTTTGAATCTTCATTTTGCTGGTGGTGCACAATTAATAAAAATGTTGACAGAATCAATTATGTCCATTTTAATGTTCAAAAATTAGGCAATTGGACACAACAAGGTTTTGAGGCGGTGCATGGCCAGTTGGCTGCGACCTCTCTCATGGCTTTCCAAAATCGTATTGCTGTCGACATGCTCCTGGCTGAAAAAGGAGGAGTATGTGCTATGTTTGGTGAACAATGTTGTACCTTTATTCCCAACAATACAGCCACAGATGGCAGCTTGACTGTCGCCCTGGAAGGGTTACGAACTCTTAATGGCAAAATGAAGAGCCACTCAGGGGTGGATACTTCAATGTGGGACTCTTGGATGGATGCGTTTGGTAAATATAAAACGCTTGTTTCTTCTATACTTGTATCCATCTCTGTTTTTGCTGCAATTCTAGTGCTTTGTGGATGCTGTTGCATTCCATGCATACGGACGCTGACAACCAGGATTATAACCACCGCTATTGATCCACATCCTGCAGATAACGGTCAGATGTTTCCTTTGCTTGCTATTGACGATGCTGACCAAGGATATCTGGATGATGAATAGCATTTAAGCTTTTTGTCACGTCTCTTGTGAGACGTGAAGAGGGGGAATGTAAAACTTTATCTTCTGATAAAGTTTTCCCTATTTTGCCAAATTGCAGCATTTAAGCTTTATGTCACGTCTCTTGTGAGACGTGAAGAGGGGGAATTAAAACTTTATCTTCTGATAAAGTTTTCCCTATTTTGCCAATTACACTGTTAGCTTGTGTCACGTCTTAAGTTTTCCTTCTCTACTGTTACTTGGTCACGTCTCTGGGGAGACGTGAAGAGAGGGATTTGTCGTGGTAAATATATTATGTTAAAGCTTGGTCTGACTAAAATCTTGTGCATAACCCATCTTGTGTTGGGGCCTTGGGACTTAATACAATGCACAAAGACTTCTAGCTTGTTGGCCTTATCAGCAGGTGGCCATGGGGAACACCCACGCCATAGGTCTCTCAAGTCCTCCCAAACTCACGAGTTATTGCCCTGAGGACATACCCACACCCCCCCACACACACACACATCATCATTGTTAAGCACACACACATACACACACACACACATACACACACACACACACACACATACACATACACACACACACACATACACACACACATACACACACATACACTTACACACACATACACACACATACACACACATCATCATTGTTAAGCACACACACACAAACAACCCCTTCTCTTAGGCTGGAGACAGAGAACCCGACTCAGAGCCAATGAAATGGAGATGACCTCGACCAACTCATCAGGACCAATGGGGAGATCAGAACTACTAGAATCAACCTACTTTATTTTATTGTATAAAATGTCAGCACACAATGTTTAGGGGCGCGCTCTCAGATATCTCCCTACGAGGTTGACGAACGCGTCCGTGCACGCTATTTTCAGATATCTTTACCTCTGAATAAACTGCCTTATATTATACAATCATCCACCTTGTCCGAAAGTCTCTACTTGGTCTCCGTTCTCCAGTAAACTTGTTTTATCAACAACACTAACAACAAAAACATGAACAAACACGCACAACACACAGTGTGAGACAGAGTGTTAAATAGGGAAGACATATCTACATGATGGGAAACAGGTGTGACCAATGAAGACAAAACAAGTCGAACATAGATACATGGATCGGTAGCAGCTAGTACTCCGGTGACGACGAACGCCGAAGCCTGCCCGAGCAAGGAGGAGGGGCAGCCTCGGCTGAATCCGTGACACTCCAAGTGTATTTTGAATGAATCTACTAAATTACAATTAAAGCGTTTGAAATTGAAGTACAGTTTAAATGAGTGTGTTTAAGTTTAATGATAGCGAACATATAGTATACTTAAAGACTGTGTAATACAGTATACTTGTATACTCAGCTGGTAGAGCACGGCGCTTGTAACGCCAAGGTAGTGGGTTCGATCCCCGGGACCACCCATACACAAAAAATGTATGCACGCATGACTGTAAGTCGCTTTGGATAAAAGCGTCTGCTAAATGGCATATTATTATTATTATTATTATTATATATTAAAATATACATTGTTTTTGATTGGGCAGTTAACTCAAACTAGCATTAAAAACTAATTTTTTAAAAAAAGATAAAAGAACACCTTACGGCTTGACAGGGGCTGTGAAGAGACACATTATGCATATTGTATTGTATTTTGCATGGTATTATGTACTGTATTATGTATGTGATACGTGGTTGGGATACGACTGTGATATGTGGTTGTCTTGCCTGTCTATTTTAAGATGAATACACTAGCTGTGGGTCACTCTGGATGGGAGCAATGGCTGAATTGAAATGTAAATGTAGTGCTATGTACAGTATATTTATGTATATTATGTATTTTTGTTGTTGTTGTTGTTTCCTGTTTGTACCCCAGGAAGAGTAGCCACTGCCTTGGCATCAGCTAATTGGGTATCCCAATAAATACAAATGATGACAACAGATTAGATTAGAGTTTAACAGTCACATGTATGAGGTTGGAGATGTAATTACAGGGTACAGTGAAATTACATCTGCAACCCCGTACAACAGTTGTGCAATCAAACTCTGTTAATAGGCTCATATGTGAAAGCATTCACATTATATTGGTGTTTAAACTTAAATGACATGTAATTGCGCCATCACATTTAATTCAAAGGAAGCTATAATTTATTGCTGTCAGTCATTTGCGAGTTTCTTCCATTAAAGTTGGCGTTAACTTGAGTTAACACTCCCTTCGTTCACTATGATGATGATCTGTGTGAAGCACAGCACAGCACGCAAAGTACACTAAACAAAAATATAAACGCAACATGTAAAGTGTTGGTCCCATGTTTCATGAGCTGAAATAAAATAAAATACATTTTCCATATGCACAAAAAGCTTATTTCTCTCCAATTTTGTGCACAAATGTGTTAATATCCCAGTTAGTGAGCATTTCTCCTTTGCCAAGATAATCCATCCACCTGATAGGTGTGGCATATCAAGAAGCTGATTAAACAGCATGATCATTACACAGGTGTACCTTGTGCTGGGGACAAAAAAAGGCCACTCTAAAATGTGCAGTTTTGTCACACAACACAATGCCACAGATCTCTCAAGTTTTGAGGGAGCGTGCAATTGGCATGCTGACTGCAGGAATGTCCTCCAGAGCTGTTGCCAGAAAATATAATTTTCATTTCTCTACCATAAGCTGCCTCCAATGTCGTTTTAGAGAATTTGGTAGTACGTCTAACCGGCCTCACAACCGCAGGTCACGTTTATGGTGTCGTGTGGGCGAGCGGTTTGCTGATGTCAACGTTGTGAACAGAGTGCCCCAAGGTGGCGGTGGGGTTATGGTATAGGCAGGCATAAGCTACGGACAATAAACACAATTGCATTTTATCAATGGCAATTTGAATGCACAGAGATACCGTGACGAGATCCTGAGGCCCATTGTCGTGCCATTCATCCGCCGCCATTACCTCATGTTTCAGCATGATAATGCACAGCCCCATGTTGTAAGGATCTGTACACAATTCCTGGAAGCTGAAATTGTCCCAGTTCTTCCATGGCCTGCATACTCATCAGACATGTCACCCATTGAGCATGTTTGGAATGCTCTGGATCGACGTGTACGACAGTGTGTTCCAGTTCCCGTCAATATCCAGCAACTTCTCACAGCCATTGAAGAGGAGTGGGACAACATTCCACAGGCCACAATCAACAGCCTGATCAACTCTGTGCGAAGATGTGTCTTGCTGCATGAGACAAAATGGTGGTCACACCAGAGACTGACTGGTTTAATGATCCATGCACCTACTTAAAAAAATTACTATCTGTGACTAACAGATATCTGTATTCCCAATCATGCGAAATCCATAGATTAGGGCCTAATGAATTTAAATTCAATTGACTAATTAACTTATATTAACTGTAACTCAGTAAAATATTTTAAATTGTTGTTGCATTTATATTTTTGTTCAGTATACATGCATGACTACACTAAAACGCTTCATACTTGTCCTCATGTAATGAAACGGGGGTGGATCAATATAATAACTGTTTCGTTGGGGGTGTAGCCGTACAATAAATCCAGACAATGCAATGTAAGATATAGAATGGACAAATAATGGTCATAATATATACATTGAAATATGTGTATCATGTAAAAATGATAACACTTCTCAGATTGGTTAAAAATGGGGGAATGATATAACTCGACAATAATCAAAACACCCCTCTACTGCTCTCTTGTTCTCGACCATTATCCTTTGACCCCATCACGTGGTGCGGATGCTCTTCCATTCCTCGCTCTTTAGGTTAAACATGGCTGCACTTTTGAGATCAGTACGGCTTCTGAAATGTTCGCCTTCGGGCTTTCTTCAAACAACAGGGACGAGCAGAAATGGACCGCCGCTCAGTCGACTGTACAGTGGTGCGATCGGTGGTAAAGGCTCCGGAGTCTGTTCAAGACAAATCGTCCCAGGCCCCTACAGTGTACACAGGTAGCGTGATGCTGGCTAGCCGGTCCATGCTGGATTGGCATCCTACGGTTGTCATTGAGCCTCAATGACAGTCATAGTTATGCACCTAAACATTAATATGACCCGTTATCATGAGAGCGTATGTATTGATGTGTATATATATATTATACTGGTATTAGCCTGTATTATTTAATCAACAAACTAGCATGTATTAAAAAGATGGCCTCCTTGCATAAGTCCTAATGACGTTCAATTCACAGCTAATTATAACACAATAATGTAACGTTAGCTAGCTATCTGTTCTATGGGATGACTATTAACTAATTGTATTTAAACAAGTAACCCTGATTCTGCACAAATGAATATACAGAGAACTGCTGGCTATGATCTGAGGGCATGACGCCATCTTCTGCTCCCATTAAAATAAAATATTAGCTAACTCGGGAGGGGATCGATTAAGTTATTGGCAAGGTTGGAAGGATTTGCTAACTACACTTAGGCCTTCACATGTGCCACAGTCCTGTATAGGGTGTTGTGTGCCTTTCGGATCAGGCAAGGAAGCAGGGGTGCTCAGGTCAAGGTCATCATTGTGGCCTCTAATGGGAGAACCAAATCTTGATCTTTGCCGTAAACCATATATAACCCATTGCCCCTGTCATCCCTCTGCAAGGTGTGTGTGGCCCTATGCAGGGGTACGTCACTACGCCATCGTCACAGAGCAAAGGGGGCTACCCACGGATGACTCCAGTTTGGGTGTGCGCTCTAAGCAGGCCCAGCAGTTTGACTGGGCCCTGGCAAAGCTTGACAGTTCAGTGAGGAGGACAGGACGCGTCACCAAGACCCTGCTGCTGCGCATCTTCCACGACATCTGCCGAACAGGTAAATAGTTAAGCATCTTGACCACCTCTCCTTAATTTAAGAACCTCAAAGACTAGCACCTCACTCCTTTTTTGTTTCGTATTTTTTTCTACGTCTAGACATGCTTCCCCTCCAACTAACCCATGGCCTGTACTTCTATGTTTTTTCTCTCTGTCTCAAGGCTATCCCAGTGGGAATCAGGCCCTGCTCCTCCTGCGGAGCTGTGGCTCTCTACTGCCTGAGATGCCCCTGGTGGAACGCACTGAGCTGGCACACCGCATCTGGGACAAGCTACAGGAGCTGGGTATGAGGCCGTGGGCATAGAACCCAAACCCAGAGGGCATTAGTGGGACAGGGCACTGGGAAGAGATTGTCAGTGGATGTAGGAGGGTCAGAGGACAATGTGGATGGAGGTCCAACTGAAACTAAGTGCAGTAGGGAGCAAAAGAGGGCATTTTCTCAATGGAATTGATTAGCATGAGATAACTATAATAATTTGCTTACTGGTTTGTGGTCATATTGGTAATTAGTAAATGTTCCTTTTTACTGTCAAGGTGCCTCATACGATGCCAGTCATTACAACGCACTGCTCAAGGTATACCTGCAGAACGAGTTCAAGTTCTCCCCCACAGAGTTCCTGGCCAAGATGGAGGCAGCCGGCGTGCAGCCCAACAGAGTGAGTAGACTCACTGCCTCTTATCTATTATCTTTATATTATTTGATGTTGAAGACTTTTACAGAAAAAAATTAAGAACTGGAACTTTGTTTCTTTTCTTTTTTAAATTTCTGTCTTTGTATATTGTAATTGAGCACTTACGTCATGATAAAATGAAGGTCTTCGATATAGATGAAAGCTTGAGATGACAGCTCTCCTCTGTTTAGGTGACCTTCCAGAGACTGATTGCAGCCTACTGCCATGATGGGGACATTGAGGGTGCCAGGTAAGACAGACTTTTACCAGTTTATTAAGACAGAGACTTGATATCGGCGCAATGTGAAGTGAATGACTGTTTGTGTCCTTGTCACACTCCCTTTCAGTACAATCCTGGGTTTCATGAAGAGCAAGGACCTGCCAATCACAGAGGCTGTTTTCAATTCCTTAGTGACAGGTCATGCGCGTGCAGGGTGAGTGTCACATTTGAATCCTCGTTTGTGTTGTAGGTTATGTATTTATAATGCATGTCAATGATAAGTAGAAATGTGGCCCTACTGCCTAATTCTTAATGTGTTTTGGTCTTATTGTGTTGAGTTGTGAGTCTCTCGTGCCCATACAGTGACATGGAAAGTTCAGAGAGCATCATTCCAGTCATGAAGGGAGCGGGCATCGAGCCGGGACCAGACACATATGTGGCACTGCTCAACGCCTATGCAGAGAAAGGAGATATGAACAAGATCAAACAGGTGAGTGGACCATTGGGTTTGTGTGAGTGGACACAATCTAGTACGTAAATTCACTATGACACCTTGTAGTGTGTACGTCAGGGTTTCCGTTAGCCGTTAATAGCCGACGTTTTGTAAACATATATATTTTTTTTATCCAATAAAGAAAATTGCAGCCTGCAAATTATCCGGGAGAAGAAGAAAAAATTGCATTGCGAAATAATGCTTTTTAGCCTATTCATTGATGGAAATACCAGTCGATGGAAATAGATTTGACTGGTCATGCTTATCGGTCTATAGGTTGATTTACATAATTTAGTGGAATTAAATTGGCGCGTGTAGAGTATTTTCGTTATGTACTGTGCATTCGGAAAGTATTAAGACCATTTGACTTTTTCCACATTTTGTTACGTTACAGCTTTGTTCTAAAATGGATAAAATAAAAAAATGTCTCATCAATCTACACACAATACCCCATTATGACAAAGCAAAACCAGGTTTTTAGATTTTTTTGCAAATGTATTAAAAATAAATAGCATATACTATATTTACATAAGTATTCAGACTCGAAATTGAGCTCAGGTGCATCCTGTTTCCATTGATCATCCTTGAGATGTTTCTACAACATGATTGGAGTCCACCTGTGGTAAATTCAATTGATTCAACATGATTTTGAAAGGTACACACCTCTCTTTATAAGGTCCCACAGTTGACAGAGCATGTCAGAGCAGAAACCAAGCCATTAGGTCGAAGGAATTGTACGTAGAGTTCCGAGACAGGATCGTGTCGAGGCACAGATCTGGGGAAGGGTACCAAAAAATGTCTGAAGCATTGAAGGTCCCCAGGAGCACAGTGGCTTCCGTCATTCTTAAATGGAAGAAGTTTGGAACCACCAAGACTCTTCCTAGAGCTGGCCGCCCGGCCAAACTGAGCAATCGGTGGAGAAGGGTCTTGGTCAGGGAGGTGACCAAGAACCCCATGGTCACTCTGACAGAGCTCCAGAGTTCCTCTGTGGAGATGGGAGAACCTTCCCGAAGTACAACCATCTCTGCAGCACTCCACCAATCAAGCCTTTATGGGAGAGTGGCCAGACGGAAGCCACTCCTCAGTAAAAGGCACATGACAGCCCGCTTGGAGGCACCTAAAGAACTCTCAGACCATGAGAAACAAGATTCTCTGGTCTGATGAAACCAAGATTGAACTCATTGGCCTTTGGAGGAAACCTGGCACCACCCCTACAGTGAAGCATGGTGGTGGCAGCATCATGCTGTGGGGATGTTTTTCAGTGGTAGGGACTGGGAGACTAGTCAGGATCGAGGGAAAGATGTACGTAGCAAAGTACAGAGAGATCCTTGATGAAAATCTGATCCATAGCTGTGCAGCAACGCTCCCCGTCCAACCTGACAGAGCTTGAGAGGATCTGCAGAGAAGAATGGGAGAAACTCCACAAGCTTGTAGCGTCATATACCCAAGAAGACTCGAGGCTGTAAGGTGCTTCAACAAAGTACTGAGTAAAGGGTCTGAATACTTATGTTAATGTGATATTTGCAAAAATTTCGAAACCTCTTTTTGCTTTGTCATTATGGGGTATTGTGTTTTGATTGAAGGGGGAAAAAATGATTTAATCCATTTTAGAATAAGGCTGTAACGTAACGTGGATAAAATCAAGGGGTCTGAATACTTTCCGAATGCACTATCTTATCTATCACACGCCTACAGCCTACAGCATACAGATACAGAGCCTTTGAGTGGAAAATCTGTCTGACAGCGCAAGAGCTGCTGCTGCAGCATCTTGTGGTGCTTTCAAGACAACTGGGAACTCTGAAAAATACAAGGTCAAATCATGACATCAGTGATCTTCAGGTTGGAAAGTCGGACCTCTAGAAAGAGGCCTGAGTTCTCGAGTTGGAATTCCGAGTTGGATGACCGTTCAAAAAGGTTTTTCCCAGTCGGAGCTCGTTTTTTCCCCCCCACTTGTCTTGAACACACTGAAGTCGGAAGTCGGAGATTTCCGAGTTCCCAGTTGTTTTGAACGCGGCATCAAACGGCAATGGAAGGCAGGCTTCATCAGCGTGTCACAGACCACTTTGCAGTGAGCTGTAGGCAGTAGGCTATGCATTTTGAAAACGTATATACTTAATTGTTTGAAACCTGAACGTTTGAATATATATTATGAGGCATATCTTGCTTCAAAGTAACCTATTAGAGTGCCTCTCTTTCTAAATTTCTAATGGATAATTTCATCTGTCACATGAAACCGCTCGCATGTGCAGTGCCCTTTTGACAAGTGTTTTTCCGTTAATTGCATTATTGAATTAACTTTTGCGCGTAGTCTGCTGCCTTATGCGCACTGCTGCACTTATGTGTCCTCTGTAGCTCAGCTGGTAGAGCACGGCGCTTGTAACGCCAAGGTAGTGGGTTCGATCCCCGGGACCACCCATACACAAAAAATGTATGCACGCATGACTGTAAGTCGCTTTGGATAAAAGCGTCTGCTAAATGGCATATTATATTATTATTATATTATAATGTGAATAAATAAGTTTATCAACATTTTAAGCGAAATGTTTCGATCTGTTGCGTCAGACTCATTGCTTTTTAAGTAAAAACAATTGTTTTTGTTGCCTAGGCCTACTGGTTGTATGCATTTGGGATATACCATCCCAAAACTGTCCCAGAATCTGTTTGGAATAGGCTATTTCTTTCTCGACAAGCTGACCAATAGAATAATTAGCCTAAACTTTTCTCCTATAGTAGATTGACATAGGCTAGTGATCTTGCTGTTCATTATTCGTCTTGTTGGCTGAGGAAAAGTAAATGTGGACAGTCTATCATGTTCAAAGTGCACATCAGAATTTGGTAAGAAGGACCGCACATCGTTGCATCCTCGACTTGCATGTTCTGTTAATATGAATTACCATATTCAAAATGTGATTTCTGTCATTCTGAGCACCGTGGGTGGATGCCCTAATCAGGTTATGCACCCAATGCATATGGTTCCGGTAAATCTAAAATGTTGCCGGTCAACAGAAACCCTGGTGTGTGTTTGTGTGAACTGACCCTCCCGTGTGTCCCGTCCCCAGACTCTGGAGGCTGTGGAGAACACAGACACCAGTCTGATGGACAGAGACCTGATGCAGGTGGTATTCAGCCTGTCCAAGGCAGGCCATCAGCAGCACGTACCAGAGATAGTGGAGCGTATGAGACACGAGAGAGGATATGTACCAGGTATGATCAGCTCCAGAGGACTGGGTGGGCTAAGCACTTTTACAGTGATTTTCAGGAACTTGCCATGCAAGTGAAGGTAAACACTTGACTTTATTGTTGCGGGGTCCTGTACTTAGACGGTGCAGGGACTACAACTACCCCTGAACGTTCTGGTTATGCGTTGTTGAGATAACGAAGATGATGATATTGATGAATTGAATGTCAATTGGATGAGAACACATCTCCCCCCCCCCCGTAGATGCTATGAACCTGTGTCTGAGCCTGATCACCCAGGGCCAGGAGGACACAGCCTTCACTGTGCTGAAGACCTTTCCCACCCTGCAGCAAGAGACCCAGAGCGGAGACTCCCCCAACCTGGGAAACTTCTTTCTGCGACACTGTGTCAACATGGACAAGGTAAGGCTTTCAGGGTTGTCAGTATTTCCACTGCAATGTTTTAAAACAAATTATTAGAAAATAATTTTCCGGATGGGAAAACGTTTTCAGTGTAAACGTAAACAATTAAAACCAGATAAATTATGTAGAAAAGATAATGGATCAATATATTTTTTAATAAGATCATCTTTGAGAACTAACAATTACCAAAATAAAAACTAGACAGTCAGGGAGAATTTAAAAAATGTCATGGCATGGGGCCTTTGTTATAATGTTTGAGTCACTCAGATTGCATAACAACAAGGCATAATTAGCTTTGATTAGCTTTGAAACTACATATTTCCTCTCTGCCCCATGGCAAAATGTGTAGAATTGCAGGAAATGAGCTTTAACAGCAAAATTGTCGCTGCGGTCAAGAGGGGCCTCTAAAACCGCGCCATTGGCCACTACCGCGTCCCCCTCCCCCCGATAACTATGCCACTGCTGCTGAAAACATTCATGGGGGAAACACTGGTTCTAGACCAGGATTGCCCAAGCTCGCCTCCTGGAGAGATACCCTTCTGCACACTTTAGTTCCAACCCTTATCTACCACACCTGATTCTACAAATGAGCTGCTCATAAATGTCCATCTGTCTCTGTTTTTAGCCAGTGGAGAAGGTAGCCCGCTACTGCAAGGAGCTGCAGGACTCCAGCTACCACGCTACACCCCTGCAGTTCACCCTGTACTGCTGCCTGGAGGCCAAGAAGACTGGTACGCTACATCCTCCTGAGAAATGCACAGGGACGACAGAGAGGAGGAGTAGGAGGCTACACACCAGAGGGAGTTTTTCACCATCTCTCTAATCTTTTCTCCAGCTACTGCGGTGGAGTTGATGAAGATGATGAAGGAACAGGGACAACCCATCAGACCCCACTACTTCTGGCCCCTCCTCACACAACATGCCAAGGACCAGAACACAACAGGTATGGAAACATGATTAAAACCCAGAAACACAAAACCATTTGATTTTAAAATACTGATAAATAGGGATTGAATGGGTCGTTTCAGCTCCAGTGTCCTCTCGATAGCACCCTCTAACTTCATTTGTTTAGCCCATTCATGCGTTGTTGTTGGAGATTCAGATATGAACCAGTACCACCCTCTGGACTGGCCATTGTAGTAGATTGAAGATCCAAGTTGACCTCCCATCGTAGCTTCACTTGCCAGGGTGTCCCTGTGTCACTCTCCGCTCTTCACGGGGATAACACAGAGAGTGACAGGGTTCAGAATGAGTGAGGGAGCTGTCCGTCACAGCCTTGTGGATGGCGACGCCTCCATGCCATTTCCTGGTGGGTGCCGGTTCTGATCCCTAACCCACCACAGGGCATGACGGGACCTGTCTGATGTCACTGTCTGAGAGGTCACTCACATGATATACACCCACAGACTTCTCGCTCTCTCTCTCTCTCTCTCTCTCTCCAATACCACAAATATATTTTATGAGAAAGGCGCTCCTCGAACTAGATGCTGTGATGCTTGAAATAGTTGTTCTAAAATGTGTGCATGTTGAGGTATTGGTTTAAAGTCACTGTGGTAGAAAGGCATATGTATGTGAGAGCCTAACGTGATGCCCTGAGGGCCAATGCTGCTGTGTGTCTGTCTGCTGTAGAGATTTAGACTTTATGTAGTACTCTGGATAGAGAGAGGCTCTCGGAGCCCACAGTATACTCAGGCCTGGCCAGGTTATGACTTCTCCAGACCGCTCCTTCGTAAGAAGCTTTTAGAAGAGCAGGGCCTGTCAAATATTTATGGGCCAGAGTGTTCCACCCTGGAAGGATTTCACTGGTTTGGGGGCAAGGGGGGGAAAGAGGTCGGATCTGAGCCTGAGATGAAGAGCGGGCACTCTAGGCAGAACGGATAATGATAACCCCCCCCCTCTTTCTCTCTCAGGGGACCTCTCTGGAATAGATCTTATTAAAGGTCAAGGAAGGTCGAAGGATAACTACGTTCTTATTCTCCTCCAAGACTAAAACAGGCCCAGGACTGGACGTTGTTTTGGTTGACTGACTGTCAAACTGTACTTTCCGTTCTTCCTCTTTTGTTGCTCGGCTGCGTTCCATCTTTTGCAGTACCTCACTCCTTTTCATCGTCTCTCAGTGAATTAGCACAATGGCAGGTTTATCTAAGCGATGCCCTTCTCTCTCATATGAGGAGGAGTCTGATGTGACCTCTACCCTGCCCTGAGGGGGAAAGGATGGAGTCCCCCTTTTGGGGGGGGGGGGGATTGGGGGAGGATAGACTGAGGGGTTTAATCCCCCACCCCCTACCTACTCCTGGGGGCTGTGGGGCTGAGGGATCACAGGTCATTCTGCTACAGTGGCTGTGGAGGCCTCTGGTCTCCTATAGTCCAGTCTCAGCCCTGAGGAAACTACAGGGCGTCATGGGAGACTGGGGTTCAGCTAAGGGTCAAACTAACGTTTAGGAGCAGATCAGCCTTCCAACAGTGATTGGGAGTGTTTTCATATACTAATATAGAAAACGATGAATTGTGTTGCTACTGTATTTCAGAAAGATAAACGGCTAGACTGAAATGGTCCAAGGCGAGTTCAAATTCATGTCATAATGACCATGTTTGGACAATGTTCTGCCTTTGAGAAGTGATACATCCTTGTCTTTATGTCCTTGGAGTCTTAGTTATAGGTGAGATGGGCTGCTTCAGAAGGTTCAGAGCAGTGTGCTAGCAGACTCCACCCTGGCTTGAACATACCGGACATAGATTTAGTTGTCAGACCGCTTAGCGGAAACAAAAACGTATCTTTCTTTTGCACACTGGTTGTCCCTGCGTTGTTAGCCTTAACCCTCATGAATGATGCAGCCTCTCTATGGCTGCAGGAGGGGCGTGTATGTGTGTCCGTCCGTGTGTGTCCGTGTGTGTGTGTGTGTGTGTAAAAGCGTTCGGGGGGCAGCATGGTGGAGGTGATGTGACGGATGCAGAGTGACTTGATTTCATGTAAATGCGAGCGCTCTGAGGGAATTCACTTTGGATTACGCGCACCACTGCACCGGCATGAAATATTAAGCGCCATGTCACTTTCTGTCCACAGGTGTCACTGGCGGGCAGGAGCGGGGCAGAAAAACTTAGCATTTTGATGAGGTGTGGATTTGGGTAGGCGAGTTAGAGGAAGCATATGCTCTGCTTTTGTTCCCACCAGCCGTGAGCCACGGCCGGCTTGTCATCCCTGAGCAGGGAGCTTATCGCTTGTGACAACGGCGAGAGGGAAAGCGAGAAAGTGGTACAGCGGGCTGCCTCCGTTCGCCTCTGCTTTACGAAGAGGCTTTTATGTTTTGGGAGGCGCAGATTAAAGCCCCCATGCCACGAGGCATCCAGTCTATTTCCCCCCCCCCCCCCCCAACCAACTCCCTCGACCTCTTCAACACATGCTCCCTCCTCTCCCTCTAAAGCAGCTCTCACCACTTCCTCTCCCGCCGTCCCTCAGTCCACCCTGTGAGTGTCAGTGTGTGGTAATTAATGGAACAAGAAGTGATTCCATCTGACATCGTCATAGCCACCTGTACTCCTAGAGACAAAAACCGAGAGAGAGACCGAGGGAGGGAGGGGGAGAGCGAGGCACAGAAGGTACATGTACTCATTTCAAGGACAGAGGAGTGTAGGAAATAGCAACCAGTTCACTTCACTCTGGTCCTCTCATCTCTCCTTGCTATTCTCTGTTCTCTTTCATTTTCCCTTTGAGTCTCTTTGTCTGTCTCTTGTCAGATGGTATCTCATCGTGTCGCCTCTGCCTCAGTGGACATGTAGTTATAGTCTGGCCTGGGCATATACCAGAACGTCTAAGGTGAGGATTAAGCCTTCATTCCCAAGGAGTCAGTCTAGTCAGTCACAATGAAGTTCCTCTGCTGTGCTCCAGCCAGTCTCAGGTCTCACCTGTGCAATATTAGAGGGCTAGATATTCCCACAGTGTGAATTCTGCCTCAATTGTGAGATGAAGTGCACTTGAAAAAGCTCAAAAGAAATGTTAGCTAACCCCTCTTAAGAGTCTTAACACCTTTTACCTAAATATCAAAAGGATATGAATACTCTATGCAGTGAGTATATGAAGCCTGTTTGTAACCCCGATGTTTGGCGTTAGTTCACCGAATAACCACTGAATCAGCGCCTACCCTGCTGCTTTTAAAAGCTTCTCACTCCCTCGCACACTTGCACGGCGTGAATCAGTGAAAAGTGCTGATTCTAGAAGCCCATGTGAGAACCAGGTCACATACAGTATATACTGAACAAAAATATAAACGCAACAATGATTTTACTGAGTTACAGTTCATATAAGGAAATCAGTCAATTTAAATACATTAATTGGGCCCTAATCTATGGATTTTGCATGACTGGCCCGCCTACTGGGGAGCCAGGCCCAGCCAATCAGAATGCGTTTTTCCCTACAAAAGGGCTTTATTACAGACAGAAATACTCTTCAGTTTCATCAGCTGTCCGGGTTTCTGGTCTCAGATGATCCCGAAGGTGAGGAAGCCGGATGTGGAGGTCCTGGGCTGGCTTGGTTACATGTGGTCTGCGGTTGTGAGGCCTGTTGGACGTACTGCCAAATTCTTTAAAATGACGTTGGTTTATGGTAGAGAAATTAACATTCAATTCTCTGGCAGAAGCTCTGGTAGATATTCCTGTAGTCAGTATGCCAATTGCGCGCTCCCTCAACTTGAGACATCTGTGGCATTGTGCTGTGTGACAAAACTGCACATTTTAGAGTGGCCTTTTATTGTCCCCAGCACAAGGTGCACCTGTGTAATGATCATTACAGTTTAATTAGCTTCTTGGAATGCAACACCTGTCAGGTGGATCTTGGCAAAAGATAAATACTAACAGGGATGTAAACAAATTTGTGCAAATCATTTGAGAGAAATAAGCTTTTTGCGCATAGGGAAATTTCTGGCTCTTTTTATTTTAGCTCATGAAACATGGGACCAACACTTTACATGTTGCGTTTATATTTTTGTACAGTATACATTTACCAGCTCCATTGACATGTTTTCTATCAGTCTGGTTTCCCAGAAATGGATCATGGATTATTAAACAGGAAAACAGGTGCTCTTCTCCTTTCATAAAAAAAAATGAAGAAAGGATGAGAGGACTCCCGGGCTCCATTGAGAAGAAAGCATCAGATCGGCTTTTTACTTTTTCTTGAAAGCAGAGAGGGTAGTGAGCTGTGAGAGAGGGGGATGAATGAAGGGAATATATAGAATGATGGAGTGGCCTGAGTGGTCCAGGTGCCCTACCTGGTTAATGCTACCCCTCTCCTTCTCTACCTCCACCCCCGGCTGGAGCTCCTAAGTTAGGTTTTAATGGTGGATAAAAGCAGATCCTTATCTTTTATTCAGGTGTGTTGGGGCAGTGGAGGGTATTACCAGGTGAACAGAGACCCTCCCTAGAGGACTGAGATACAGAGCGCTGTGTGGGCCTGAGTGAAGTGTAAACACCACAAACACACACACAGAGAACGAGAGAGATGGAGCCAGGGTGTATGTGCTCTCACATACAGCACCGAAACACTTAGCCTGCCCTCTTGCTGAAGTCTGCATGGAAACATGCATGAACACATAGATAGGTATTTCTAACCCTCAGAAACGCACACACAGTCACACTGGTTCATTCCACTCTTGGCCCATCTCATATGTCCATCCAGGCCTAGGCAGCAATGTGCCTGTTCCATATTCATGTGGCCGCTCCCGGGGAGGGTGTGCCTGGGGCAGGGGCCAAGGGTTCTGCTGGAGAGGAGAGCAGAGTAGTGGTAATGGGTTTGGAGTCCACCCTAGGCCCGTCCCCTCAACCTCTGGTTGCTGCAGGGTTGGGTCAATTCCATTTCAACTCAGAAAGTAACCCCAATTCCACATTTTCCTCACTCAAAAGCATTGAAGAGAATTGGAATTGGTTTTGGAATTTCAGTGTGCTTCCTGAATTGACTGGAATTGGAAATGGGTTTGACCCCAACCCCGATGTCCACTGTTGTACTGTGCTGTAGCAGGGCTGGGTATCCCCATCTGAGTGTTGATGTTCCTCCAGGTATCATGGAGGTGTTGAAGGGCATGCAGGAAGTGGATGTACCAGCTGATGTAGAGACAATGTCCATCTACGTCCTGCCTGCTTTCCCAAACGTAGATGCTGCCCGGGACGCATTCAAGGTACCGTGTGTGTGTGTGTGTGTGTGTGTGTAGGGTGGGTGGCCTCCACATCCACATGAAGTGGCACCAGCGCCTGAAGCGCTAACCCAACCCCCCCAACGCACGAGATGTGTGCGTGCGTTGCTAGTTTCTGATAGTCTTGGTTATCTTGGCGTCTGTATGAGCAGGTGTGTGAAGCGTGTGCACGGTTGCATTTTATAAATATTTTTTTTTTGTGTTGTGTTGCCATGTGTTCATGTGAATGGTGTGTATTTGTCGTAGGAGATGGGCTGCTCCTTGGAGTCTGAGGGTTTCTTGTCCTCTGAGGTGCGCTCTGAGGCTAGCAGTGGGAACCTGGCAGGACTGTTGGTTACCAGTGAGTATCTACCTGTATTTCAACTCTATCTTAATGGCTTCCTCTGGTCATTCAACATGTCAAAAAACACATCTATTACAGGTAATTATGCCGATAATCATGTCTAATGCACCTTCTTTGTTCACTTATGTACACCAACATACATTCATGATGGCCCCATTCCAAGTCACTCATAGTGCCTCTGATGTCTATGTGAACTACCTACCTAGCGTAACTCTCTGGGCCCAGGGTTAGCTTTTTGAGGGAGGACCGACTCGTCATCAGCATCTGGCTTCTGTTTCTCCTGGAGTCTTATTGCCCCCATCAGAGCGCTGTCTCTCGCCCCCTCTTCTCTTGCTCTCTTTCGCTGTCTCTCTGCTCCCCACACACTCCCCGCTCATCAGGGCTTTTAAGTGATTAGTGTGTGTGAATATGTTAGGAGGAGCGGGGGATCGAGGGAGCGACTCGCCTAAACTGGTGGAGGTGAAGAGCGATTGGGGGGGTGAGATGGAGGGGTGTTTAATAATGGATGCTCGTTCGCTCATCTCGTTTTAGCCCCTCTACCCGTTTTCTCTCGTTCTCTTAATCTGTCACGCACCATCTCTTTTTTTGTCCTTCTGGTTGCTTGGATATTTGTCTTGAGTCTTCTTGGTCTTTCACACCACATTGACATGCCACTTATATCTATGAAGGCTTTGGGAAACCAAACATCCTTAGTGTTCTCCTCAGAATGTGTCTGTTTCTCTCTCCCTCTCCAGTGTCTGCTCCTTCCTTCCCTGCCCTGGACCTGAGTACCTTCAGAGGAAGTCTCATCCAGGGCTTCAGAAGGTGAGTTGTCTTACGTCGTAACTGTTTTTAGAGTAAGAGTGCTCTGTTTCTCTTTACAAGTGTGTATGTGCAAATGTGTTTGCCTTCTCGCCCATGTTTCTAAACAGGCTTATGAAAGCCCCTGGCAACATGGGGTTTATGACTTGTGAATAACTACATATGTTACTTGTGTCCCCCTCCCCTGTCAGTGAGTGAGTGAGGGAGTGAGTTAGAGACTGCGGTGTTCTCCCTGCAGCGGGCCACCCAGTTCCGGGCCCTGACTGCCTCATGCTTATGGACACAGTCAGTCAGTGGTCCTGACCTGCAGCCCTGGCCCAGGAGCACCCTGGGAGATATGTTAATGAGTCTACTCTGAGCCCCGCCCCTAAGGCTCTGCCCTCACCCTACCCAGCCTGAGGTCTGTAGGCTGGCTACAGGCAGGAGGGCAATGATGTAAATATTTACACCCACTCCTCCCTCTCTTTCTCCCTCCCGCCCTCAACTGTCTTGACCCTCCCAGGGAGCCCAGAGGTCCTGGCATACTTACTGGTGTTTGTGTCGCTTCTGTCCTGTCCTCCCCTCACACCAATATACACACACACAGTCATTAGTTATGGTTATGAAATAATAATTAAAGTGAAATGGAGAGATTGCGGCCTAGTTGAAGAGAGACTTTCCTGTGGTTTTTGGGCTGATATTGCAGATGTCAGAAACATAATCACCTTCTTCTCAGGAGTAAGATTGATACGTTTCTAGATGTATGTCGTGAATGATTTAGACTACATCTGTACTCTTTTCTCTCTGGACGATGTTCCTGGTAGCATGGTTGTCTGCTATAGACTCATCTGTGAGCCGTGCGGTGCTGTCGTTGCCAGGCAGCCTGTCACGCCCATAATTGGGGTTGATGCCAAAGAAGAGGGGTGTGTCACTGGGGAGGGGGGGCTGTGTCAGAACCATGTCACTACACTCCGCAACCTGCTCCTGTCAGAGCAAGGTCAGGGGATAATTTAATCATTAAAGACCCCCCCGCTCCCTCCACCCTCCTCTCATCTTGTCTCTGTGCCTCTCAAACCAGCTGACAACGCCACATACGCACGACGGCCGTGTCATCATAATTTAGGAATGGTTTTGTGTGTGTGTGTGTCTGACATGGTTTTCGAGTGACTATTCAGTGTGTGTAGGATAATGTGTAGGATGCCTGTTTTCTTCCCTTAAGTCAATTTCCTCTCATCCTCAGATGATTTGTCAAGGCAAAGTGGCAGTCCTCTTCTCTGTCCTGTGTATATATTTCCCTGGTGCATCATTTTCGGGGATCATGGTATCAGTTAGACCATTCAGAATGTATCATTTGCTCCATCAGAATGCCCAGGTTCTTATCATCCCTGCGTTTTACTGGCGTTTTGCCGTGTGACATTAATAGAATTGTGTCCGGTTGTGTCGTGTTCATAGGGACTCGTATGTCAGTAATCTACTGTAATATTGTTCTCATAGAAGCTTGCTTTATGTCTCTGTGCTGATTTCCTGTGAGTATGTATGTGGCTGCGTTTACACTGGTCTTTCAACCAATCACATCGGATCTTTTTTTAGATAATTAGTGAAAAAAATATCAGAATTGGGCTGCCTGTGTGAATTCAGCCTAAGTATCCTGATTCTGTGTACTGATTCCTGTCTGTATGTCTGTATCCTGATGTCTTGTCCTCTGCTACCCCCTACAGGTCTGATGATGTGGAGAGCATGTCTAAAGTAAGACGATGCACAGCGCTGCTTGGTTTCAGCTCTGTTCATAATCGCATGTGGAGAAACTGGCAGGGGTTTATTGAAGAGGGTGGAAGGTTCAGAATGTTGCAGATAGAAATGTATGACATGTAAAAGCTTGATTGTAATTTCGATATGACATATAGACTTACCACTTTTATAGATTATATTTATTTCTGCAAATAGTTTTTTCTAACCCTTCCCCTCTTGATTGCATTGCACTGATACAGTGATACAGGCATTTAAAAGGCAACAATATGACTGCTATATAATTCTGGGGCATGAGTTTTCACTATTCAGGTGTGATGCTTGACCCTGCAATTTGTATGTAGGTGTGTATGTGTATGAGATGCATGTCTAAGGTTATGCTTGTTTTCAGATCACTGAGCTGCTGTACAAAGATGAGCGTTTCTCTCAGGGAGCTACAGGATCTGCTGGTAAGATCATTTGTGAATGGATGAAAATCTGACCATAACAACGCTATCTATTTTATTTTTGTTAAATTTTAGTCATTTAGCATACACTCTTATCCAGTAGTGAGCGCATACATTTTCATACTGTCAGAATAATTGTAGTGAGAATTATATATTTTAATCTTTTATTTATTTCATCACATTCCCAGTGGGTCAGAAGTTTACATACACTCAATTAGTATTTGGTAGCATTGCCTTTAAATTGTTTAACTTGGGTCAAACGTTTCGGGTAGTCTTCCACAAGCTTCCCACAATAAGTTGGGTGAATTTTGGCCCATTCCGCCTGACAGAGCTGGTGTAACTGAGTCAGGTTTGTAGGCTTCCTACTTTTTCATTTCTGCCCACAAATCTTCTATAGGATTGAGGTCAGGTTTTGTGATGGCCACTCCAATACCTTGACTTGGTTGTCCTTAAGCCATTTTGCCACAACTTTGGAAGTATGCTTGGGGTCATTGTCCATTTGGAAGACCCATTTGCGACCAAGCTTTAACTTCCTGACTGATGTCTTGAGCTTAAATATATCCACATAATTTTCCTTCCTCATGATGCCATCTATTTTGTGAAGTGCACCAGTCCCTCCTGCAGCAAAGCACCCCCACAGCATGATGCTGCCACCCCCGTGCTTCACGGTTGGGATGGTGTTCTTCGTCTTGCAATTGTCCCACTTTATCCTCCAAACATAACGATGGTCATTATGGCCAAACAGTTCTATTTTTGTTTCAACAGACCAGAGGACATTTCTCAAAAAAGTACGATCTTTGTCCCCATGTGCAGTTGCAAACCGTAGTCTGGCTTTTTTATGGCGGTTTTGGAGCAGTGGCTTCTTCCTTGCTGAGTGGCCTTTCAGGTTATGTCGATATAGGACTCGTTTTACTGTGGATATAGATACTTTTGTACCGGTTTCCTCCAGCATCTTCACAAGGTCCTTTGCTGTTATTCTGGGTTTGATTTGCACTTTTCGCACCAAAGTACGTTAATCTCTAGGAGACAGAACGCGTCTCCTTCCTGAGCGGTATGACAGCTGTGTGGTCCCATGGTGTTTATACTTGCATACTATTGTTTGTACAGATGAACGTGGTACCTTCAGACGTTTGGAAATTGCTCCCAAGGATAAACCAGACTAGTGGAGGTCTACAATGTTTTTTTGATGTCTTGGCTGATTTCTTTTGATTTTCCCATGATGTCAAGCAAAGAGGCACTGAGTTTGAAGGTAGGCCTTGAAATACATCCACAGGTACACCTCAAATTGACTCAAATGATGTCAATTAGCCTATCAGAAGCTTCTAAAGCCATGACATCATTTTCTGGAATTTTCCAAGCTGTTTAAAGGCACAGTCAACTTAGTACATGTAAACTTCTGACCCAGTGGAATTGTGATACAGTGAATTATAAGTGAAATAATCTGTCTGTAAATTGTTGGAAAAATGACTTGTGTCATGCACAAAGTAGATGTCCTAAACGACTTGCCAAAACTATAGTTTGTTAACAAGAAATTTGTGGAGTGGTTGAAAAACGAGTTTTAATGACTCCAACCTAAGTGTATGTAAACTTCCGACTTCAACTGTATGTATGTCTGTCTGTATGTACAGTGCCTTCAGAAAGTATTCACCCCTTGACTTTTTTCCACATTTTGTTGTTACAAATTGGGATTGAATTGTTTTTCAACGATCTACACAAAATTCTCAGTCAAAGTGGAAGAAAATGTTTTCCATTTTTTAAAGATGAATGAAAAATAATACACTAAAATCTTGATTAGATATTCAACCCCCCGAGTTAATAAATGTTGGAATCACCTTTTGGCAGCGATTTACAGCTGTGAATCTTTTTGGGTACGTCTCTAAGAGCTTTGCACACCTGGATTGTACAATATTTGCCCATTTATTCTTTTTTAAACTCTTCAAGCTCTGTCAAGTTGGTTGTTGATCATTGCTTTGACAGCTATTTTCAAGTCTTGCCATAGATTTTCAGCCCTATTTAAGTCAACTGTAACTAGGCCACTCAGGACCATTCAATGTCCTCTTGGTAAATAACTCCAGTGTAGATTTGGCCTTGAGTTTTTGTTTGTTGTCCTGCTGAAAGGTGAATTTGTCTCCCAGTGTCTGTTGGAAAGCAGACTGAACCAGGTTTTCCTCTAGGATTTTGCCTGTGCATATCTCTATTCCATTTATTTTTACCCCCCCCAAAAAACTAGTCCTGACCAATGACGGGAATATCCATAACATGATGCAGCCACCACCATGCTTGAACATATGAAGTGCAGTACTCAGTGATGTTGTGTTGGATTTGTCCCAAACATAATGCTATGCTTTTTTTTTTTTTTTGCAGTATTACTTTAGTGCCTTATTGCAAACAGGATTACATTTACATTTAAGTCATTTAGCAGACGCTCTTATCCAGAGCGACTTACAGTTAGTGCATACATCACTTTATTAATTTTTTTCATACCCCCCGTGGGAATCGAACCCACAACCCTGGCGTTGCAAACTCCATGCTCTACAAACTGAGCTACATCCCCTGCCGGCCATTCCCTCCCCTACCCTAGATGACGCTGGGCCAATTGTGCGCCGCCCCATGGGTTTCCCGGTCGTGGCCGGCTACGACAGAGCCTGGATTCGAACCAGGATCTCTAGTGGCACAGCTAGCACTGCGATGCAGTGCCTTAGACCACTGCGCCATGTTTTTGAATATTTTTTTATTCTGTACAGACTTCCTTCTTTTCACTGTCATTTTAGGTTAGTATTGTGGAGTAATTACAATGTTGTTGATCCATCCTGTCCTCCTCTCACAGCCATTAAACTCTAACTGTTTTAAAATCACCTTTGGCCTCATGGTGAAATCCCTGAGTGGTTTCCTACCTCTCCGGCAACTGAGTTAGGAAGGACACCTGTATCTTTGTAGTGACTGGGTGTATTGATGCACCATCCAAAGCGTAATTAATAACTTCACCATGCTCAAAGGGATATTGAGTGTCTGCTTTTAGGTGCCCTTCTTTGCGAGACATTGGAAAACCTCCCTGGTCGTTGTGGTTGAATCTGTGCTTGAAATTCACTGCTCGACTGAGGGACCGTACAGATAATTGTATGTGTGGGGTACAGAGATTGAGTACTCATAAAAAAATCATGTTAACCACTATTATTGCACACAGTGAGTACATGCAATTTATTATGGGACTTGTTAAGCAAATGTTTACTCCTGAATCTATTTAGGCTTGCCATAACGAAAGGGTTGAATAGTTATTGACTCAAGACATTTCAGCTTTTAATTTTTTATTAATTCTATAACAAAATTCCACTTTTGGGTTATTGTGTGTAGATCAGTGGCACAACATCTCAATTATATCCATTTTAATTCAGGCTGTAACACAACAAAATGGGGGGAGTCAAGGGGTGTGAATACTTTCTGAAGGCACTTTATCGGTGTCTGTCTCTGCGTTTACTGTGTATATATCTGCAGTCTCAGTGGCAGGAGTCTGCTGACGCGCTCACTCTGCGTTATGAACACTGTGTTTGCATGTTCATGTCCTGCCCTAGATATAGGGAGTATGTGTGAGACCTGGCCAGAGGGACAGCCTGTTTGTCAGGGAAAATGGACCTAGGCTGCTGACACAGCGCTGAACAAACAGCCAGCGTCTCAGTGTAGTTTGTGTCAGGAATGTGTATCTTTCGGTCAGTGTGTGTGGCGTGGCTGTGTCTCTCTGTGTCAGTGTGTGTGTTCTGACCGGGCTGCAGTGCTGGTGGGAGAGATGGAGACAGTTATCCGTGTCACTTCCCGTTGTCTCCTCCGCACGGCCGCCCCAGAGTGCGAGGCTGTCATCCACTGCCACCCGCCCGACACGCATTACTGTTCACTTCACTCAGAGTACCGTCAGCTCTACACACACACACACACACACACACACACACACACACACACACACACACACACACACACACACACACACACACACACAGCCATTATCCTGGGACCACATTCTATGTCCTTGTATCTGTGTGTGTGTGTGTGTGTGCACGTGTAACATCCCTCCTCTCTTCCCATCTCTACAGAGGCTGTGTCCTACTTTCTCTATAACCTGATTGACGGCATGTCTGAGGCAGAGGTGCAGGCTCAGGAGGACAAGCTCAGGCAGTACTTCAACCAGCTGAAGAGCATGGTACACACAGACACGCACACAGATATTTGACTCATCCCATTCATGAATACAACCCTTCTGACAGGCTTACACGCGTTGATCTCAGATTAAGAGTTGTGTCTATGCGGATAATGAGATTCAGAATACCCATGTCCTAAATTTCAGATTAGCAATCTGCCCCCTCCTAAAATGGACAACCCCAGGTGAAAGAGGTGTTATTTTAATCCTGGTCTCCCGTGTTTGACCTGCAGGGTATCGTCATCCCAGGGAACATCTACAGAGGGATCAGGAACCTGCTAGACTCTTATCACGTGCCTGAGCTCATCAAGGTATCTAAAGCCTAAATCACTGACCACCTAGAAGACCAGTTCACAGCTACTGTATGTGAAGGTATTCTTAATGGTGTCGCTTTGGTGTCTTTCTTACATGGTTCTTTTGGTTTCTTTTAGGATGTTATCGCCCTGGTGGACAGCAAAGAACCTCTGAACTTCTCAGACAACAGAGTCATTGTGAGTGTATTCATTGGGTTTTAGAGATGTAGGTGATGGTCATTTTAGGGAGAGTGCATGTAACGTTTTCCTGCTTACCTTTCAGAGTCTGGATGGCAAGGTGTCGGCGCTGGAGAACAGGCTAGCTGAGCTGAAGGCTGACAGTAAACCAGTAGGAGCTACCCTGAAACAACTCATCCTCACTCTGTGTGCTGAGGAGGTACAGTCTCAGCACACATGCCCTCTTTCTTTTGGGTAATGTTTGTTAAGCTTAAAACCTGGTTCAGTTGCAGAGTGATAGTCTGCTGCTCGACAGTAAGACAATTAAATTAGGGTTGTTAATATGTCCTAATGGGCCGGTGGACTATTGTGGCTCTGCAGCTGTGAGCTATGAGTTCAGCCTTATGATTAAGCGATCTAGATGAAGGTTGATTTTTAAAGACCTCTTCTCTGTCTGACAGAAACTGGACAGGGCTCTGGAGCTGAAGAGCCAACATGAGGCAGACATGGTTGCCGGGGGCTATGCTGCCCTCATCCACCTCTGCTGTCGCAATGACAATGTGGAAGAGGCGCTGAACTTGAAAAGAGAGCTGTAAGTGGATTGGGAAACACACAAACACACATTCCCCTATACTCGGTCCAGCCAAGCATTAAAGTTGAACATGAGCTGGATTAGGAGAGACGTTAATGCACTGAATCCGGTGCGTACGTACCCCCGTCTCTCATCTCCTCGCCCCAGACCCTGCGTCTGTCACGCCTCAGAAACAGAAAGGCCTCAGTGCTGCACTCACCTTCAGCTCCAATCTGTCTTCTTTGCCATGCACCGCTTCATCAAAGAGGAGGTGGAGGAGGGGGGATTGAGAAGGTGGGGGGTAGAGGAATCTAAATTGTAGGGAGATGGGAGTTGCAATTGTGACATGAACTTCATCGGCCACGTTCGAGATCTTTCACATACAGATTTTTTAAAAAGTATCTTTCCTTCTCTCCCTCTCCCCACACCCCTGTCTAGGAGCCGTAAGGATTCCTCTGTGTCTCTGGATTCCAGCAAGTACGTGGCTCTGGTCAAGGTCCTGACCAAGCAGGGCAGACTGGAAGGTGAGTGGGCAATAGCCACCGCCAGGGCAACATAGTCGAGGGAAGTTGCTTTCTGTTAAAGATAGGCTTTCAGGGTTCCTTGTCCAGACTGCTGAGAAACCTTGCCTGAAAAGTCACCTTGCTTGAGACCTGAAGACTTGCGTTAGCTCCCCGAGCTAATGCCTAGGCTTTAGCTCAGCAGGTTAACAATAGACTCTGTCACATTTTAGCGATTTAAATGTGTGGTTTGGTTAAACCTATATATCTTTCTTTGCAAAATACCTATATCCATAAGCCGTATGAAAGACACAGCAAAGTTCAACTCCTGAGTGAAGGAAGTGTTTGATACAGTTAAATGTCTGCTGAAGGAGTAATGAGTTTCTCAGAGAGCATGCTGTATGCATGTGGCGAGGAGCAGGCAGGAGCCGCCTCTTTCTCTCTCTCAGGACGCCCACATTAACCAGCCATTATCTGAATGCCACGGTGGGTTTCTGCCTGCCCATGTAAGACCCAATTACAATAAAAGTGTTTCTTCTTTGCTTTGTGCACACAGTGACAGCGTAAATGTGTGCCCCGTCTCTCTCACGCTACCTCTCTCGCTCTTTCCTTCAAGATGCGTGTCACTCTCACCCCCCCCCCCCCTTTCTGTTCGCCTCGTCTCTCCCCCGTCACAGAGAGGGAGAGAGAAAATTACAGGACTCGCGCTACTTTAACAGAATTACAGAAATCCGTCCTGATACTAATGGCATATCATGTCCGGGAAAGTGCTTGAACATTTCACACACACAAATTTGCATGTGAATTCAAGCAGAGGTGCTGTGAAGGGGGGAGGGGGGGGGGGGGGGGGTTAGCTGGCCATTAGCCCCAGTGAGTGCGGCTTGTCATCCACATTAGCACACCTCGTTGCCCTGGCCTATCGGGCCGCGCTACAGACAGCCAGGTCCGTGCTGAAGATCATGACTTGTGGCAGGACCGCTCACTGGCGCCCCGCTTTTAATGGCTTTGTTGTTTTCCTTCCTTCCTTTACCTCCACCTTCACCTCTCCACCTTTCCCTTCGTCCCTCCACCCCCCCTGCATAGCGATAGCTAAAGCCTCTGTGCGGTCCTCCGGTAAACACAGCCTTGGGTGTGCAGGGGCCTAGTGGAACACAAGGCAGGGAAATTAGAGGGATTAATGGCCTGTGTGATATTTGTTTACCTGGCCGTGGCAGTGTGTGGCTGGATGAGTTTCAGATCCCTGGCTGGCTGGCTTGGCTGATATACATACCACTCCGTCTGCTTGGCCGCCTAGCCTCCATTTGGTCACGTTAGCGCCGAGCCACTGGTCGTGGTGATTAGTGGTGCCGTCAGGAAGGAGAGAAGGGATGAGCTGTCTCTCTTCTGATGCGCGCTCATTCCCTCATAGGCTAGCTAACATGTTCCTTCCCCCAGTACGACTCTCCGCTGGTGTGTGTAACGTGCTGATGGACAGTCATGGGTAGTCAGTGAGTGGGTAACTTTTCCCCCCTAACCCCCCCACTCTCGTTAACTTGGATTTGATCCTAAGGTCAGATTTCCTCTATCCCTGGCCCAGTGAGTTCACACCTACAGCTAAGGATTTCAACTCTACCCTCCTAGTCCAGTTCTCAAGGGCTGCAGTGTTTGCTGGTGTCCTACCCCTTGATACTTGGTACTTGATTTATCAATCGTTTTCATAGAACCACACAGCTGCTGGTTTTCCATGTTTTCTAAGTCAGTTGTCTGCAGGTTTTCATCCAATACCATTCAATCACAATGAGGCCCTAGCCTACAGGCAGCAAACCAAACCTTTCTGGGGGACAGCATCCTAGGCTTTCTTTGTCATTAGTCAAGGCTCTGATTCCTCTCCACAGTATCAAATCACATTTTATTTGTCACATACGCCGAATACAACAGGTGTAGACCTTTACAGTGAAATGCTTACTTACAAGCCCTAAACCAACAATGCAGTTTTAAGAAAGAATACCAAAAAAAAACACACAAAAAAATATAAAATAATACGAAATAAAAGTAAGAAATAATTTAAGAGCAGCAGTAAAAATAACAATAGGGAGGCTATATACAGTGGGTACCGGTACCGAGTCAATGTGCGGAGGTACAGGTTAGTTGAGGTAATTGAGGTAATATGTACATGTAGGTGTAGTTATTAAAGTGACTATGCATAAATAATTAACAGAGTAGCAGCAGCGTAAAATGGGGGGGGGGGGGGATGCAAATAGTCCGGGTAGCCATTTGATTAGATGATCAGGAGTCTTATGGCTTGGGGGTAGAAGCTGTTTAGAAGCCTCCCTGACGAAGGCCATGCAGCCGAAACGCGTCTGATTTTTTAAAAATCTATTGAACATGCCATACTAATATAGGCATTTTAATTAATTATATGAAGAGTGCCTTGGTCTTCCTTTCTTTTTGATGACCAATTCACCCCTTTGACCAAAGAGCGCCTTCTGTCTACCAACATTTACTAATGTGTACCTTAGTAGCGCTTCCCTTTCTCCTCTTTCTACCTGTTTAGAAGCCTCTTGGATCTAGACTTGGCGCTCCGATACACCGCCTGGTATAGAGGTCCTGAATGGCAGGAAGCTTGGCCCCAGTGATGTACTGGGCCGTACGCACTACCATCTGTAGTGCCTTGCGGTCGGAGGCCGAGCAGTTGCCATACCAGGCAGTGATGCAACCAGTCAGGATGCTCTCGATGGTGCAGCTGTAGAACCTTTTGAGGATCTGAGGACCCATGCCAAATCTTTTCAGTCTCCTTAGGTTTTGCCGTGCCCTCTTCACCACTGTCTTGGTGTGCTTGGACCATGTTAGTTTGTTGGTGTTGTGGACACCAAGGAACTTGAAGCGCTCAACCTGTTCCACTACAGCCCCGTCGATGAGAATGGGGGCGTGCTCAGTCCTCTTCTTTTTTCTGTAGTCCACAATCATCTCCTTTGTCTTGATCACGTTGAGGGAGCAGTTGTTGTCCTGGCACCACACGGCCAGGTCTCTGACCTCCTCCCTATAGGCTGTCTCATCGTTGTCGGTGATCAGGCCTACCACTGTTGTGTCATCAGCAAACTTAATGATGGTGTTGGAGTCGTGCCTGGCCATGCAGTCATGAGTGACCAGGGAGTACAGGAGGGGACTGTGCACGCACCCCTGAGGGGCCCCTGTGTTGATCAGCGTGGCGGATGTGTTGTTAACTACCCTTACCCACCTGTGGGCGGCCCGTCAGGAAGTCCAGGATCCAGTTGCAGAGGGAGGTGTTTAGTCCCAGGGTCCTTAGCTTAGTGATGAGCTTTGAGGGCACTATGGTGTTGAACGCTGAGCTGTAGTCAATGAATAGCATTCTCACATAGGTGTTCCTTTTGTCCAGATGTGAAAGGGCAGTGTGGAGCGCAATAGAGATTGCATCATCTGTGGATCTGTTGGTGGTATGCAAATTGGAGTGAGTCTAGTGTTTCTGGGATAATGGTGTTGATGTGAGCCATGACCAGCCTTCCAAAGCACTTTATGGCTACAGACGTGAGTGCTACGGGTCGGTAGTCATTTAGGCAGGTTACCTTAGTGTTCTTGGGCACAGGGACTATGGTGGTCTGCTTGAAACATGTTGGTATTACAGACTCAGACAGGGAGAGGTTGAAAATGTCAGTGAAGACACTTGCCAGTTGGTTAGCGCATGCTTGTAGTACACATTCTGGTAATCCGTCTGGCTCTGCGGCCTTGTGAATGTTGACCTGTTTAAAGGTCTTATTCACATCGGCACGGAGAGCGTGATCACACAGTCGTCCGGAACAGCTGATGCTCTAATGCATGTTTCAGTGTTACTTGTCTCGAAGCGAGCGTAGAAGTAATTTAGCTCGTCTGGTAGGCTCGTGTCACTGGGCAGCTCGCGGCTGTGCTTCCCTTTGTAGTCTGTAATAGTTTGCAAGCCCTGCCACATCCGACAAGCGTCGGAGCCGGTGTAGTACGATTCGATCTTAGTCCTGTATTGACGCTTTGCCTATTTGATGGTTCGTCTGAGGGCATAGTGGGATTTCTTATAAGCGTCCGGGTTAGAGTCCCGCTCCTTGAAAGCGGCAGCTCTACCCTTTAGCTCAGTGCGGATGTTGCCTGTAATCCATGGCTTCTGGTTGGAGTATGTACAGTTGAAGTCGGAAGTTTACATACACCTTAGCCAAATACATTTAAACTCAGTTTTAAGGACTTTGTTGTCCTTAAGCCATTTTGCCACAACTTTGGAAATATGCTTGGGGTCATTGTCCATTTAGAAGACCCATTTGCGACCAAGCTTTAACTTCCTGACTGATGTCTTGAGATGTTGCTTCAATATATCCACATAATTTTCCTTCCTCATGATACCATCTATTTTGTGAAGTGCACCAGTCCCTCCTGCAGCAAAGCACCACCACAGCTTGATGCTGCCACCCCCGTGCTTCACGGTTGGGATGGTGTTCTTCGGCTTGCAAGCTACTCCCCTTTTCCTCCAAACATAACGATGGTCATTATGGCCAAACAGTTCTATTTTTGTTTCATCAGACCAGAGGACATTTCTCAAAAATGTACGATCTTTGTCCCCATGAGCAGTTGCAAACCGTAGTCTGGCTTTTTTATGGCGGATTTGGAGCAGTGGCTTCTTCCTTGCTGAGCGGCCTTTCAGGTTATGTCGATATAGGACTCGTTTTACTGTGGATATAGATACTTTTGTACCTGTTTCCTCCAGCATCTTCACAAGGTCCTTTGCTGTTGTTCTGGGATTGATTTGCACTTTTCGCACCAAAGTACGTTCATCTCTAGGAGACAGAACGCGTCTCCTTCCTGAGCGGTATGACGGCTGCGTGGTCCCATGGTGTTTATACTTGCATACTATTGTTTGTACAGATGAACGTGGTACCTTCAGGCGTTTGGAAATTGCTCCCAAGAATGAACCAGACTTGTGGAGGTCTACAATTTCTTTTTTGAAGTCTTGGCTGATTTTCTTTTGATTTTCCCATGATGTCAAGCAAAGAGGCACTGAGTTTGTAGGTAGGCCTTGAAATACATCCACAGGTACACCTTCAATTCACTCAAATGATGTCAATTAGCCTATCAGAAGCTTCTAATGCCCTGCCATCATTTTCTGGAATTTTCCAAGCTGTTTAAAGGCACAGTCAACTTAGTGTGTGTAAACTTCTGACCCACTGGATTTGTGATACAGTGAATTATAAGTGAAATAATCTGTCTGTAAACAATTGTTGGAAAAATTACTTGTGTCATGCACAAAGTAGATGTCCTAACCAACTTGCCAAAACTATAGTTTGTTAACAAGCAATTTGTGGAGTGGTTGAAAAACACGTTTTAATGACTCCAACCTAAGTGTATGTAAAATTCCGACTTCAACTGTACGTACAGTCACTTTGGGGACGACGTCATCGATGCATTTATTGATTAAGCCAGTGACTGATGTGGTATACTCCTCAATGCCATCGGAAGAATCCCGGAACATATTCCAGTCTGTGCTAGCAAAACAGTCCTGTAGCTTAGCACTGGTGCTGCCTGCTATATCATCCCTAGAAAAATCTATTCAGAGACCCAGTGAAGGGGATGTCCACAGGTACATGTAGGGTCCCCTCTAGAGGGACATGACCCAACTGGGCCCTGTTCAGATCCATATCCACCCCATCCCTATCATGACACCCCGGGGAGAGAACAGAATGAGCCCCAGACACAAAACAAAAGCTGCCTCTTAGAAACCCAGTGTGACCCACATGAACCCTCGCCCCTCAACCCCCACCCCTCTTCCCCTTTCCAATTTCCCTTTTTGCTTCATTAAATCTGTGACAGTCACAGACGGTGCCTCATTTGCATAACAACGCGTGAAAATGAGTGGGGACGGAGAGATTGAGAGGCAGACTGGAATTTGGATGCCAAAGCGCGCACCAGTGTGCCTCGTACGTGTGTGTGCGCTGTCGTGTCACTGGAGTGTTCAGCCCTAAGAGAACACTCTGGTTGAAGAGGTAGAATAGCTAGCCAGAGAACTAGACTGCCAGAACTGGAGGGATGGTTTGATCCAAATGCACACACCTGGAGTGTTCAACACAGGGTCCTTTCTATTCTGTGGCTTTTGTTGCGTCTGCTAGCCACAGCACTCACACTGTGAGGAGCAATTGGGGTTTGAGGCCAAATTAGGCCAGATCTCACATATGCGTGGCAGTTGAGGGCCAAAGCCAATGAATGTTTGTTTGTGTGTGTGTGTCTACATGGGGTGGGTACTGGCGAGCTAGATGTTTTCTTTTTCTCCCTGACCAGGCTGTGATGATTAGTATCACCGGTGCAAACAGACCCTATCGGTATCAGCACATTAGCACGCCTCTAAACACAGTGTAAACACATCTTAATTATCTTGCCCTGCCACAGAGCAGCTGACTGCTGCCGGGGGAGAGAGACGAGAAGAGGAGAGCATCCTCACTTCGCACGGCCCGGTCAGCCAGATGGGAGCCCGGCCTGCTGAAAAGCCTCCATTATTACGGTGGCCGCTGAGTGCCGGGCCTCTGTAGGACCCCGGGCCAGGGCACGCCGGGCACTCGACGCACACCTATAATTTAGGCCCAGCGCTTTCGGCACAGGGACGGGAAAAAACGGCCCGGTAATTGTAGTCTCGTTTAGAAATGCAAGTAGCAATTAGCAGGAAATTGGCATTATACGGACCGATTTGCATTCCTGCTGGGTGTAAAATGCTGTTTTAATAGCGGTTTGTTTTCCCCACATGAAATTATCTAAGGGGCCTTTTATCGCCTTCCCATCTCTCTCTCTCTCGCTTTCATTCTCTCTGCTTCTTCCCTCTCTCTCTCTCCCCCTCTCGCTTTCATTCTCTCTCCTTCTTCCCTCTCTCTCTCTCCCCCTCTCGCTTTCATTCTCTCCCTCTCTTTCATTTGGAGTCTCCCCATCAAGTGAGATTGGGCTCTGACTACTTATTTGAACCACCCCATTGTAGATCCTGGCCCCCTAAGTCTCTCTAGGACAAGGCAGTTAAGGCAGAAGTAGCTGACCGTAAGACTAGCTGACACTTGTTGGCATTCGCTTATCGTTTTATCAGCATGCCTTTGGCCAGTTCCCATGTTGACTTTCTCTCTCCCCGCCTCTCTCTCTTCTCTCCTCCCTCCATCTCTCTCCCCCCTCCATCTCTCTCCCCCCTCCCTCCATCTCTCTCCCCCCATCTCTCTCCCCCCTCCCTCCCTCTCTCTTCTCCCCCCTCCTTCTCTCTTCTCCCTCTCTCTTCTCCCCCTCCATCTATCCCCCCCCATCAGAGGCGGTGGACATGCTGAAGGAAATGAAGGAGAAGGAGGTGGCTGTGAGGGACACCACAGTGACCCTGCTCTTCCACGTCCTCAACGCTGTGGCCATGAAGGGGGATGTGGCGGCTGTCCGCAGGCTCCAAGACACCATCTTCACCCTGGGCCTGGCCAAGCCCACCGCCAACCTCTGCTCTCCCCTGGTCTCAGCCCACCTGGAGACGTGAGTATTATTCCCTCCTCCAATCCTAACAGCTGTCAGGTACTCTATAGGACTCATGGGATAGGCTCCAGTGTCCAGACTATGTACTAGCATCAGACCTGGGTTCAAATATATGTGTATTTTAGTATTTTCAAATAATGTGACCATTTTCAGATAACTTCTATAAATAACCTACTACCTTAAAACTTCAATGAATAGCCCAGGCGTTTATTTGCTTAAATCACTGAATACAACAGGCGGTTATTAGAGACAGGCTTCGATTTGAGCCAGGTGTCTATTTCCATAATGCACACAGCTTTTGCACATTTGCATAGTTAATTGTTTGATTCAAGCTTTCACTTCCAGCATTTTAATCAATTTCTTCATTTCATGCACTGTTATTTACACACTGTCACATTTATTTTGTCTTAGTATGCCTCTATTAAAAAATAACTGTTTGTGTGCTTGTCAGTTAGCTAGCAGCTCTCCACTGTTAGCAGCCAATGGGTAGTAGTTTCTTACTGCCGATAAAAATGGATCATTGCCATCATTTTTTCGAGTCATAACTGAATTATTGAATGTATCAAATCAAACATTAAACCTCGTAAACAATTCATTTAGACACGGCTTTTATTTGAAACAGACTTTTATTTGCTGAAATGTGTGCCGTTGCCCGGCTATTAACAGGGACAGGCGGCTATTTGGGACTGTTTATTCTAAGTTTTACGGTATTTTAAATACTAGCACCTGGGTTCAAATGCATGGGAGTATTTATTTGTATTTGAGTATATCTCAATATTTACTTTGAAATGTATTTGAAAGTAATTAAGGTATTTTAAATAGTATTTGAACCCAGGTCTGACTAGCATACCACTAGAATGCATTCCCAACAGTAATGCTTCATTCTAAGTGGTGGAATGGAACAGAGCCCAGATGATGTCATCCAACAGGGTACCTGAACACTTCCTCTGGGAAAAGGACTTCCTGTGTCTCACTCTGCTTTGTTGTTCCTCATTGGCTGTGGTGGATCATGTGAGCCAGAGTCCTGATCATGCTTGAAGGAGCATTCTGGGTAACTGGTTCAGTCAGAGAGATGGTTTGGATCTGGGTCTGGGCTGTGTGTGTTTGTCTTTCTAACAGAGGTGGGGATCGGCCAGCTGCTGTACCCCTAACCACCGTATCCTCCCCCTCCTCACCCCTATTTACATAACTCTGACTCACGCTCCGCTTCTCTGAGATGGCTATCGATGCCTTCTCGCTAAAAATGCAATATGCAAATCAGTCTGGGGAAAAAGCTGTGTTTCTGGGTTCCGAGGCCCCATGGCCCCACCCCTCAGTCCCTGTTCAGGTCTATTTGTGAGAACAGCTTTTAAGTAGATCAACTCATTTGCATGTTAATTATGTACAGAGCACTAATTGCTGGATTTGCCACAGCCATGCGGCGCGCTGTTCGAAGCAACCCCCCTTCGCCCCCACCTCAATACACACACACACACCCTTTTCCCCTAACATGCTCTGGGAGAGGGTGTACCAAGGGTGTACCTTCACACACATGGACGTTTGACACACACACACACACACAGCAGCGTGGTGCAGGCGCCCCCCTGGGGCTGTTTGTTTGCTGTCAGTCAGTGTTCAACACAAACACACTGTGGAGGTTCATGCCTTAATTGCTGCCTGCTCTGAGATTAGCTTGGTAATTTCCCCCAGGTTCATTAGCAGCAGTGAAAACAAGGGATCTCTCTTCTCCCTGCACAGAGCAGAGCCACTTTCAGCACTGAACGACAGGTTCACTGGGCTCACAATACAATACACCCCAATACACTGGGGTTTGGGAGTTAGGGCGAGGAATGCTTATAGAGGGATTTATAGACCTCTAAAGAACCTCTCTGTGGCATAGTATAGCCTAGACCTCATCTTGGCACAAAGTTTAGAGTTGAAAGTTAAGGATTTTAGTCCTTGTCTTGTTTTTTTCATACCCAGAAGAAGGTTTCCCGTTCTCTTCACGTCTCCTCCCTTTATCTTTTCTACATCTATCTCTTTTCATCTCCATCTTTCCCCTTTCTTCTCCATATTTATCCCTTCCCATCTCCTCCACTATTCATCCCTCCTTTTCGCTCTCCATCTCATCCCCTCCTCTTTCCCATCTCTCTGTTCGTGCCGTCAGTCAGGGCGGCGGAGGACAAAGCGCTACGTGTCATTCTGGCGACGCTGTCTCATCACAGTGTCAGCAGTAATGACTTAATGAACACTTCTCCCCCAGATTAAAGCTGACAGCCCGTCAGCCTAGCCAGTTAGCCGCCGCGTAGCGCCGAGCACCGCTCCAACACACTGTCTCTCTCTCTCAGAGACGCTAACCGCTAGCTAACTGCCTTACTGGATCCATATCCCTGATTAGCACCCCTGCAATGCTAATGAGCCTAACAATGGGAGGTGGGAGAGACGAGTCTTGGAGGGGAGAGGGGGTGGGGGGGTTATTAAGAGTTGGAGATCAGACAGGAGAGCTGTCAGACGGCTGCGGCTTGAGATGGAGAACTGGATTCACTCCTAGTGTGTGTGTGTGTGTGAGGGGGCTGAGGGACAAATTGGGAGTGGAGTATGTAAGTGCAGCTGTACAGCAGAAATAGGGAACAGAGACACAGACTAGCCATTAACTTGGACTTGACCACAGATTAATCAATATGTCTGTCACTGTGTGTACAGAATATACTGTATGTTATGGCTTAGCAGCTGTGTCTTAATGGCACCTTGACACTCATAACAGCAGGCTAGAGGTGTCACGATCAAACACCACACACACACTCGCTCCCCTACACACACACACACCCTCTGCTGCGCGGCCCTCCCTCCCTTCCAGGGGACAGTGGTGTGATAACGGGAATGCCAATCTCTGTGTAACAAAAGAGGGGGAGGAAGGAGAGGGGTGCAAAGAAATAATGAAAGGATGGAAAGAAATGAGCTTTCTTGTCTAATCCTTCAGGTTCTGTGCGTAAAGCACTCGCCGCCACCACCATCTTTTTTCAGGACTTAATTGGCTGGAAAGTGCTTGACATGCAAAGTTTGTGACATTAACGGGGGAACGTGTTTGAGTAAATCGGAGCGCAAGTGACAGCTAAATTGTACCTAGGGAAATTATGAAGCCTTCAACATGGTTAATTCTCTTTTTGGTTGGGAGATGGGAGGAGAGGGCGCTGTAATTGCGATGCTGGTCGCTTTTGCCAGAACTGTCGGGAGTTTCTAAAGACGTTTTTTCCTGTAAGAAGGGGTTTGGGGTATTTGGGTGGGCGGAATGGAGGTGTCGTCGAATGGTGGGAGGGGGGTGTAAATATCTATGATCGACCGTCTTGGAATTAAATGATTCTGTAGAATTTCACAGAATACCTTTGGAACGAGGGAACACTGACTGAGTGCATGTATGGCTGGAACTTAACTCCAGTTTAAAGGGTTTATACACACACATATACATACGCCTGGCAGGTAGACCACAGGTCACTATATTCCTGTCCAGCAAAAGTTTGTCCCTGACTTTTTTTGAATAAATTACACCTTCTCTCTCCCTCTCTCTCTGCTGCTCTCATTCTCTGGAGAGTGGCTGTTCAATCAGGAAGCGAGTGGTTGAATTGCCTCTTGACTCCTGCTTGATGAATAATGTTGTCGCTCTTCATTTCAATTAAAACCGATTGCCTGAGAGCCCAGTTTGTGTTCTAAGCTCAATCACATCCTGTGTTTTGTCCGTATCCGCCCCCCCTCTCCTCTCGATTCTGCCCATACCAAGGTCAGACTTTTTTTGGGTGGGAGGCACATTTCCTTGTCCGGTGGCTGTATAATCTACAAGAGTAGAAAACACTACAGAAATTATACCTGTTACTCCTTCCCTCCCCCCTCTCTCTCTGGCTCGCTGTACCACCACACCTGACCCCCTCCCAACGGTGCCCTATCTGCTGTGACCTCTGTGTGATTGGCATGGTAATTACCCAATCAACAGATTGATGGCAGCGCAGTCACAATAGAAGGGATTGGAGTGGTGTTTTTCTGTCTTTATTTCTCCATCAGCCCTCTGTCAGCCCAACTCCCAGGCTCTTTGTTCAGGGGGAGGAGCGGGAGGAGGGTGGAGATGGCACGGGGAGCGCTCTAATTTTGTTGCCATATTCCTCTAAATTGCGCAGCTGGGGGTGAGGTGAGGGGGGTGAGGGATGCTGACAGCGTTGGAACACAGGAGAGAAGGCTAAAGATCACAAAAGAGGTTGTTTCCCGTCTATTCATCCATTCACCCTGGAAAAGCCCTATATTTTTATTCATTTGTTCTACCAGAGAGAGTTGTCAAAGGAACGTGGCCAATTGCCTCATCTCCTGGTTGACCTGTCAGGGCTGAAAAGGGCACCATCGTCAGTCGTTTGTGACGGAGGTCATAGGCCTGGAATAGTCTTGTTTTCTCTCAGCCATATAGATTTGATTGTAAATTAATGCTCTCTTTCTCTCACTGTGTCTGTGTGTGTCTCACCAGTAAGGACCTTGGTGGGGCGCTGGACGCAGCTATGGAGTGTCAGAAGCAGTATGGCCAACTCCCACGTATCCACGACGTCATCTGTGGCCTGGTGGAGAAGGGAGACACAGAGCTCCTACAGAAAGGTGAACGCCACCACCACCACAAATCAAATCACATTTTATTCATCACATACACAACTTGTGTAGACTTTACAGTAAAATGCTTGCTTACGAACCTTTCCCAACGAGGCAGTTTAAAAATAATAATAAAAAATGTAATAGTAACTAACACAAGGAATAAAATACACAAGAATGGAGATATATGCGGAGAGTACCAGATCAATGTGCAGGGGTATGAGGTATTAGAGGTAAATATGTAGATGAAGGCAGGATAAAGTGACTAGGCATTAGGATAAATAATAATACGAGTAAAATAAAGAACAGAGTAACAGCAGCATATGATGAGTGTAAAAGTGTGTGAGTGAGCGTGTGTGTTTGTTTGTTGTGTGTGTGTGATGTGAATGTGTGAGGGTTTTGTGTGGGAGTGACAGTGTAGCGTGTGTGTATGTAGAGTTGAAGTCGGAAGTTTACATACACCTTAGCCAAATACATTTAAACTCAGTTTTTCACAATTCCTGACATTTAATCCTAGTAAAAATTCCCTGTCTTAGGTCAGTTAGGATCACCACTTTATTTTAAGAATGTGAAATGTCAGAATAATTTCAGCTTTATTTATTTCATCACATTCGCAGTGGGTCAGAAGTTTACATACACTCAATTAGTATTTGGTAGCATTGCCTTTAAATTGTTTAACTTGGGTCAAACGTTTCGGGTAGCCTTCCACAAGCTTCCCACAATAAGTTGGGTAAATTTTGGCCCATTCCTCCTGACAGAGCTGGTGTAACTGTGTCAGGTTTGTAGGCCTCCTTGCTAGCACACGCTTTTTCAGTTCTGCCCACACATTTTCTATAGGATTGAGGTCAGGGCTTTGCAATGGCCACTCCAATACCTTGACTTTGTTGTCCTTAAGCCATTTTGCCACAACTTTGGAAGTATGCTTGGGGTCATTGTCCATTTGGAAGACCCATTTGCGACCAAGCTTTAACTTCCTGACTGATCTCTTGAGATGTTGCTTCAATATATCCACAATTTTCCTTCCTCATGATGCCATCTATTTTGTGAAGTGCACCAGTCCCTCCTGCAGCAAAGCACCCCTACAGCCTGTGCTTCACGGTTGGGATGGTGTTCTTCGGCTTGCAAGCGTCCCCCTTTTTCCTCCAAACATAACGATGGTCATTATGGCCAAACAGTTCTATATTTGTTTCATCAAACTAGAGGACATTTCTCCAAAAAGTAAGATCTTTGTCCCCATGTGCAGTTTCAAACCGTAGTCTGGCTTTTTTTTTGGCGGTTTTTGAGAAGTGGCTTCTTCCTTGCTGAGCGGCCTCTCAGGTTATGTCGATATAGGACTCGTTTTACTGTGGATATAGATACTTTTGTACCTGTTCCCTCCAGCATCTTCAGGTCCTTTGCTGTTGTTCTGGGATTGATTTGCACTTTTCGCACCAAGATATGTTAATCTCTAGGAGACAGAATGCGTCTCCTTCCTGAGCGGTATGACAGCTGCGTGGTCTCATGGTGTTTATACTTGCGTACTATTGTTTGTACAGATGAATGTGGTACCTTCAGGCGTTTGGAAATTGCTCCCAAGAATGAACCAGACTTGTGGAGGTCTACAATTTTTTTTCTGAGGTCTTGGCTGATTTCTTTTGATTTTCCCATGATGTCAAGCAAAGAGGCACTGAGTTTGAAGGTAGGCCTTGAAATACATCCACAGGTACACCTCAAATTGACTCAAATGATGTCAATTAGCCTATCAGAAGCTTCTAAAGCCATTACATTATTTTCTGGAATTTTCCAAGCTGTTTAAAGGCACAGTCAACTTAGTGTATGTAAACTTCTGACCCACTGGAATTGTGATACAGTGAATTATAAGTGAAATAATCTGTCTGTAAACAACTGTTGGACAAATTACTTGTGTCATGCACAAAGTAGATGTCCTAACCGACTTGCCAAAACTATAGTTTGTTAACAAGAAATTTGTGGAATGGTTGAAAAACTAGTTTAAATGACTCCAACCTAAGTGTATGTAAACTTCTGTCTTCAACTTTATGTGTATATACAGTACCAGTCAAAAGTTTGGACACCTATTCATTCAAGGGTTTTTCTTTATTTTTACTATTTTCTACCTTGTAGAATAATAGTGAAGACATCAACTATGGAATAACACATATGGAATCATGTAGAAACCAAAAAAAAAGATATTGTATATGTTAGATTCTTCAAAGTAGCCACCCTTTGCCTTGATGACAGCTTTGCACACTCTTGGCATTCTCTCAACCAGCTTCACCTGGAATGCTTTTCCAACAGTCTTGAAGGAGTTCTCACATATGCTGAGCACTTGTTGGCTTCTTTTCCTTCACTCAGAGGTCGAACTCATCCCAAAAGTTTGTTGTTTTGAAAGTGTATTGGGAAGTTCTTAGTAGCTAGCTAACTTTTTAGTTTGGATCCTGCGACACAGTTGGCATCAGTTGCTGGGATTGCTAGTCTCTGTCCAGTGATCCTGCCGACCAAGGACGGGTCTGAAGAGCTTATTTGGCGTTGCAGCTAGCCTAGCTGTTAGCTAGCAGCATATTAAGCTAGCGCGGTTTTCTTGAGGGCTTGAACACAGCCCGCGATGTGGTTAGCCATTGTGGCTGGGACCGCGGATTGTCCCAGGTTTGTGGCTGTCTAGATCCCTGCTGTTCGTTGTTTTCAATCTTCCCTATGACCTGCCCTGTCTGGAACTGCGAGGAGTAACAGCGTAACCTACGTTGCTAGCTTCTACCATGACAAAGACCAAAGCCGGCGGGAGTACCGTTGTCAAGGACAGTGGTGTGTCTATCACACGTGAAGGATCTTTTAAACTATCAAAAAGAGTTCTACAAGCAGTGGTTACAACAACAAGAAAATAGCTTCAAGTGCTTTGTCCAAATACTGGTGGATTCGACTAATAAAAGAATGGACGACCTGACCAGAGAGGTCCAGGACCTGAAGAACAGTTTGCAGTTCTCCCAGGGTTAGCTCGATGAGTTGAAACAGGAGAACGGCAAGATTACAGCAATCTGTAAATCATTGAGAGGACATCAGTTCTGTGTGTGAATCCATGATAACAATTACGGATAAATCAGACTCTCGAGGGATAATCAAGGCGTAACAACATGGTTGTGGACGGAATTGCAGAATCTCCACATGAGACCTGGACGGAGTCTGAGGACAAAGTGAGGGAAATTATCTCGGAGAAATTGGAGATGGACCACAGGAAGATTGAGGTGGAGCGCGCCCACAGGACTGGAAAACCCACCACCGGCCCAGGTGAAAGGCCCAGGCCGAAAGTGGTCAAGTTCCTGAGGTTCAAGGACAAGGTAGCTGTTCTGGAAAGAGCCAAGAACTTGAGAGGAATGTATATTTTTCTCAACAAGGACTCCTGAAGTTGTGCGCCAGAAGAGGAAAGAACTTATCCCAGCCATGAAAGCTGCCAGAGCGTGTGGGGACATTGCTTACATCCGCTATGACAGGCTCATTGTCCACCCTCCCTCCTGGAAGGGATGAGAGAGCCAAGCCTATGGCTTCGTAGCTTCAACCCCGCAGCGCACACACACCAATTGATTAATGGACTGCTGAATGTATATTTTTTTCTCTTGCTTTGTTTGCTCTTTTCAGTATTATGTCTATCTCTGATAAGCTACCCAGGAAAGGGCTGAAAATAGCGCACATTAATATATGTAGCCTTAGAAATAAGGTTAATGAAATCAATAACTTGCTAACATCATATAACATCAGATAACATTCATATATTAGCCATTTCTGAGACTCACTTAGATAATTCATTTGATGATACAGCAGTAGCAATACAAGAATATAACATCTATAGAAGAAACAGAAACGCTTATGGGGGAGGCGTTGCTGTATATATTCAGAGCCTTATCCCTGTAATTCTTAGAGAAGGTCTTATGTCAAGTGTTATTTAAGTGTTGTGGTTGCAGGTTCACTTGCCACATCTAAAGCCTTTTATTTTGGGGTGTTGCTATAGGCCACCAAGTGCGAACAGTCAGTATCTAAATAGTATGTGTGAAATGCTTGATAGTGTACAGTCGTGGTCAAAAGTTTTGAGAATGACACACATTTTTATTTTCACAAAGTCTGCTGCCTCAGTTTTGATGATGGCAATTTGCATATACTCCAGAATGTTATGAAGAGTGATCAGATGAATTGCAATTAATTGCAAAGTCCCTCTTTGCCATGAAAATGAACTTAATCCCCAAAAAACATTTCCACTGCATTTCAGCCCTGCCACAAAAGGACCAGCTGACATGTCAGTGATTCTCTCGTTAACACAGGTGACAGTGTTGACGAGGACAAGGCTGGAGATCACTCTGTCATGCTGATTGAGTTAGAATAACAGACTGGAAGCTTTAAAAGGAGGGTGGTGCTTGAAATCATTGTTCTTCCTCTGTTAACCATGGTTACCTGCAAGGAAACACATGTCGTCATCATTCCTTTGCACAAAAAGGGCTTCACAGGCAAGGATATTGCTGCTAGTAAGATTGCACCTAAATCAACCATTTATCGGATCGTCAAGAACTTAAAGGAGAGAGGTTCAATTGTTGTGAAGAAGGCTTCAGGGGCCCAAGAAAGTCCAGCAAGCGCCAGGACCGTCTCCTAAAGTTGATTCAGCTGCAGGATTGGGGCACCACCAGTGCAGAGCTTGCTCAGGAATGGCAGCAGGCAGGTGTGAGTGCATCTGCACGCACAGTGAGGCGAAGACTTTTGGAGGATGGCCTGGTGTCAAGAAGGGCAGCGAGGAAGCCACTTCTCTCCAGGAAAAACATCAGGGACAGACTGATATTCTGCAAAAGGTAACAGGGATTGGACTGCTGAGGACTGGGGTAAAGTCATTTTCTCTGATGAATCCCCTTTCCGATTGTTTGGGGCATCCGGAAAACACCTTGTCCGGAGAAGACAAGGTGAGCGCTACCATCAGTCCTGTGTCATGCCAACAGTAAAGCAT